CCCAGATGTAGATGTACATTTGGTAACACTTTAGAATGCGGTTCCTTCGTTAATGAATAACTACACAAGAACTAATGAGTAACACAATATTAACAATCTAGTAACTATTATTAACTAACAAGAAACTCTGATTAACGAACTAGTAAGTAATAGCGCACAGACGAAAGTGGTAGTTCACTATTAAGTAATCAATAACTACTATTTTTTTTAATACTTCCCAGAGAACTACTGAAAGTTTATTAATAATCTAGTAACTACTATTAACTAAAAGAAACTCTTATTAACGAATTAGTAAGTAATAGCTCACAGATGAAAGTGTTTCTGGATACTTCAGTGGGAATTAATTATTTGGATTCGTATTATAAATTGAAGATCATTGGAACTAACTAGTAATTACTCAAGTGTTACTACATGATCTAGTCATGATTTGTGCAAATGTTTGAGATTTTTGGTGAACTTTAGTAACTTTTAGAAAATGTCTTTAGTAACACTTGAGTAATTACTAGTTAGTTCCAATGATCTTCACTTTATAATACGAATCCAAATAATTAGTAACTCCCACAGAAGTATCTAGTAACACTTTCGTCTGTGCGCTATTACTTACTAGTTCATTAATCAGAGTTTCTTGTTAGTTAATAATAGTTACTAGATTGTTAATATTGTGTTACTCATTAGTTCTTGTGTAGTTATTCATTAACGAAGGAACCGCATTCTAAAGTGTTACCGTACATTTTGCTTCATTTCGCGCGGACATTTGACGGCGTGTACAGACACGCGGAATGACGCAGACGTTAATGGCGTAGACATACACGCATACACGTGGATAGCTCAAAATGCGTAGAGATAACACGCCACTTGACTCGAAAGTGGCGTGTATGTTTACGCAAAAGTCTTAATGTCATGTTGCTACTGAGTTACTATAAGTAACTTTGTCAACTTATTCTACTAACCCCACCAAGTCTACTAATACTCTAATGAGAGTTGGTTGACATTCAGCAAACTCACTCTCTCAAAGGCCTATGAAACTCCCCCAAAACTAACATCACAAATGAAGCTTACCCTGACTGAAACTGGTGTCCTGTCACAGGACACATTAAGACTGGTAACAAGTTTTAGGACCGCAAAGGAATTTCCAGAGAGTTGTGACTCTCACATAAGCCCCTTTCACACAGAGATTCCGGAAAATACACGGATAATGTGACCCGGCATTTGTCCCGGGATTGTTTGATTTCGGTTCATTCACACTGCCAGTGATTTGCCGGGATCTGTGAGTGCGTTCACACAACCCGTAAAGATCCCGCAAAGACACATTACGTCAGGATGAGACGTGTAACGTACGCATCGAAAACATGTACACGCGCATACCGTTCCACAAAGCGGGTGAACGATCTCCGCTTCATTGCAGATAGTGAGGAGCTCCTGGTCTCTGCTTCGTTCCAGTTTGCAGACATTTGTTCGTCCTTTCTTTGTTGATGACGAACACAAACTTTCTTCTAAGAGCAACAGAGTCGCGCCATGGCAAGAGCGTCATCACTATTGCTGCGTTCACGTGCTATGGAAAGTAGGATATTTTCCACTTGTGAACTGGTATTTACCAGTGTGTTGCGTTCAAGTGCTTTTGTTGTCGTAATGTGGTAAAAAGATGGAGATCCAGACCTGTTATTTAGCTAAATCTATTTTAGATTGCTTAAGTCATCTGCAACAGCAAGAAAATGATTGATCAAAACTCAAAAGGTAAATAATATGCTATATATACAGTATTTTCTAGACGATGAATAGTATATATTTTTTCCATTCACGACTCTTGCGGTGCTCTCCGCCATTTTGAAAAGTTCAAAGGTTATCTCATCTCGGCAACTCATCAAAATATTCTACGAGTTGCCCAGTAGAAAATACCACATGAGGGGGTGTTCATGTGCATTTTCCACGTCGGCTTTTGGTATTTACCATAATTACCATAGCACATGAACGCAGCATAAGACACACCCCTTACGGCATTGGTCCTGGCTTTTGTTCACACAGCGCGCATTCCAGGACTGATTCTGGCAATTTTACTAGGTCCGCAACCTGGCATCGATGCCGTAATCAATCCCGGGTTGTGTTTGCGTTCACACAGAAGGCATTCTGGCAATTTCCCGGGATCAACACACTGTGTGAAACACTGCTTTACCCTGTTGAACCCTGTTAATCCTATGTATTCTATGTATAATATGCTTGAGAAATGTATAAACATGAATCTAATTTTCCCATCTCATGATTTTCCTTATTATGTAGTTCGGCCTATGTTTTCTTGTAAAATCTATTGGGTTAATGTTTCAGACTTTGGATACTATGGTCAACCAAAATTATATGTGTGGCATGTTTGGTCTCTATCAACTCCAATCTTCGTCCCTCATTTATTAATTTACATTACATTTTGCTAACTTTATGACACATTAGTATTATTAGAATCTTGAAGGTTCTTTTCTTAAACATTCAATGAAATTACACATTCAAATGCCATGATAGAACGTAAAATCTCCCTTCAAAGGTACAACTTCGTATTGGCTCACACACCATCAGAGGATGTGACGTCTTCACGCTTTAAAAATCACTGATCACAAGATCAGCGCTCTCTTACCCTTTCTCTTACTCTCGTGGTCCTTCCTGAGAAGTCCTTACGTGAAGATGATGCTGAACTACTGTAAGTCCCCCAAGGACCCCCAAGCTTGTGCCAGGCTGCGGCCTTATCTTTCCATTCACCAAAGATCCTCTGACTACCACTGGTTCTCTCTCATCAAGACCACATCCGCAAAGATCAACTGGAGCCTCAACAAATTGCATCAGGACAGTTTAATTCAAATGGGTGAGTATATACATGCAAGTATCAAACTTAGTCTCATTATTTGATACATTAAATATCCTTACCCCCTTTTTTAAGAAGGTTGTGTTATAACTTAACTGATGGTTTGCTCAGGCTGTTGATCTCCTGAACATCAAACAATGCAATACCTTCTTGCTTTCCTGTATTCTGCTTCACCTCTCTTTCCCTTGGGAAACTGTATGCATGTATATGTTAGATTAGTAAATGTTTAGTCTAGTTAATAATGTCTTGTTAATATCACACGTAAAGTGGTCAGTGTCTCAAGCTCATATAATAGATCTTGACTACTTGCTCTTAGTAAGTACTTAGCAAGAAAGACATTTTCCCATGCCCCGGAAATGTACATTTCTGTTAATCAATTAATAACCAATATTGGCTGCAACGCATTCTAATCCTAGGGCGTCATATAGGTGACGCTTTTGACATTGCGTCTAAATCCGACGTCAATATAACGTCAATATTTGGTGTCAATATAACTCGCTTCAGTTATGGGTAGGTTTAGGCCTGGGGTAGGGTTAGGGTTAGACCACTAGGAGACGCCTTCTGGCCCATATATGTCTGCGTCTCATATTGACGCTAAAGGGTGCCATGTGCGTCAGATGTAAGCGTCACCTATATGATGCCTTGGGGATGAGACCAGGCTGAATATTGAGTGTTCACAGGATGAACTGAATAATTGGTTGTAATATTAATGTAGTTAATCTGATTAACTAATCCAAATATTATATATAAGTTATGATTGGTTATTAATATTTCATGAAGCTAATTTGCTACAACATGTAGGTGCAATGTTACTTATAGTCAACAACAATGCAAAAGGGACCACCAAAATAAAGTGTAACCAACAACTATCATCCCACATAATTACATTCAGAAACTTTGGCCTGGTTGGTTCACAGACAGGGCTCAGATTAATCCAGGATTAGGCCTTAGTTTAATTAGGACATTTAAGTAGCTTTTATAAATGTGCCTTAGGATATAACATGCATTACTGATGTGCATCTTGAGACAAATCAATGGCACTGACATATTTTAAGATTAATAATGCATCATTAAGCGTTGATTTACTAATTTACGATCTTTCAAACATGTAGCTATGCTGTTATATTATCAATGGATTACCCCCACAAAACAAATGGTGTATGGTGACTATATACAGGGGTTGGACAATGAAACTGAAACACCTGGTTTTACAACACAATAATTTGTTAGTACGGTGAGGGCCTCATTTTGCATCCAAATACAGCACCAATTCATCTTGGGAATGACAGATAGAAGTCCTTCACAGTGACCAGAGGGATAATGAGCCGTTCCTCTTCCAGAACAGTGTCCAGGTCACTATATGATGCTGGTGGACTCGCTCCTCCAAAACACCTCAATAATATTCAGATCTGGTGACTGTCAGACCATGGGGGATGTTCAACGTCACTTTCATCTTCATCAAACCCTTCTGTCACAAGTCTTGCTGTGTGTGTTGGTGCATGGTCATGCTGATACACGGTTTGAGCATCAGGTGCTCATGATCCTCCAGAATAGAAGGGTTTGGTAGTCCTCGGCAGTGTCGTGTCCATCAAATACAATCAGGATTGTCATGATTTTGGAGCTCAAACCATCACTGATCCACCCGTGCTTCACTCTGAAGATTGGCCACCAGGCATATGTGAAACCTCCAACATTGGCCAGTGTTTCAGTTTCATTGTCCAACCCCTGTATGTTAAGCAGGCAAAAAAGCACCCTAAAAGTAATGACTTACTGTATGGACATTACACACCTGAAGGTGAGTAGGTAATGACATTTTGGTCAATTATCCCTTTAAGAATTAATTTAGTATAGTTTAGTAAAGTCTTCATGGCATATATGTGATTTGAGAGTATTTGTACTGGGACTGTATTTTCTCATGTTTGTCAATGTTTGTCAGGAAGTGTGGGTCATCCAACATGACATCAGCTTCACCAACAGTATAATGACCGGATGACAGACATCTCACAGCCTGAACCCAATGCAGAATGCAGAGAGAGTGCATTGAAGGCAAGCTAAGACAATATGACACCATGAATGTTTTTGTTTTCATGCATCTTATGTCTGACTATAATGAAGATAAATTATCATTAAGATAAAGATTATCATTAAGATAAAAGTGAGAACAGGGACTGGTAAAGGCACATATGTTCTGCACCCTGGTGGATTGCATGGTGAAATGAGACTGCACTGGATGTGCTGCAGTGCACTAGTGTGCTTTATTACTGCATTGTGTCAAAGTGGGCGTGCAAGAGTGTTTGAAGAACTTTTGTTCTCTTCTTTTATGCTCTCTTCTCTATAGCTTGAAGCGCTGAATCAGCAGAAGCTTCCAGCATAATGAAAGCCACTGACCCAATCTCTCTCTTTAAGGGAGACCGAGGAGTGAAAACATGAGGTGAGCCGTAACACTGTGTTTAGTGAATTAGAATCTGTAGGGGTCAAATCAGAACATATGATCACCACCCTCTTGGGGTGACAGAAGAAGTTATACGAATGTGTACAATTATAAATGATATACAGGGGTCGAAATGGAGTATTATAAAAATACATATATAACATATAGCAGATGTACAAAGACATATAGCACAAAAAAAATCCAATTAGATGTTGAAACAAAATGACTTACTCCCTATAGTCTCTCCTACCTCCATCATTCTGCTTGTTGAATATTGAGAGCACTGGTGTGCATAATGGTTTTTATTAAAAAAAAAACAAACAAAAAAAACATGAATGAGTGTAACAAGCTTGCAAGAAACATTACAGTTCTCCAGTTATTGGATCAGTGTTTAGTGTTGTAACTGAAGCTATTAAAAATGGCTTTTGTTCATTGAAATAAAGGTTAAATATCAAATGAAAAACATAATCATAAGAGAATAAAAATGAGAAATGTTGCCAACTAACTGAAATTAAATTATTTTAAGTAGAAGTACTATTGCCAAAAGTACTACTGAAGCTTGAAATAATATTAAAAAAGCACAAAACAAAATTATTAAAACATAAATAAAATTTTACTTAATAAAAGAGCCAATTCAAAATATCAATACATACTATAATAGTATATAAATAAGACTATAACAACATTTTATTGGATCCAATACCAATCAATTCAATTTCAATTTATTGCATAATATGACTTAAAGATGAAGTGTGTAGATGAAGTTTTGAAGATGAAGTTTTTTTTTTTTTTTTTTGCATATTTTTCCTAATATCCATTTTACACAGCAACATTGGCTTATCCTAGTTTGGGGTGGGACTACACTGTAAAACATTTTATGATCAATAAGTTATGACAACATATGTTTTTACATTTTTTTAAACTTATATTAAGTCAAGCAATTTTCAACTCTTTATTATGTTATGCAATATTAAAAAAAAGTTGTATGTAATTTAAGTTGAAATGACTTAAACATCCAAGTTGATTGTACTTAAAATTTCACGCAACAACTTATTTTTTACTGTTTATAAATAATTTATAATAGCCTACGTGAACAAGTCGTAAAATTGCATTGCACGCAAGTCTTGTCACAGTGACTTCGAAAATGCATCAGATCAATCCATCTCTTGTAATCTATTTGGCTATTAAGCACACAAGCCGGTTCAACCTACTGCTTGGAATAATCTGTTCATCTAAGGCCTCTGGCGGAGATACTGTAATAGTGTATAAAAGTAGCATGAATCTGTGCTCACATGCACATGAAAGCTTCTGGGGGTAGCCGAGAGAAAGAAAGAGGTGGGGTTAGAAAGCTCGCCCTGCGCTGCAGGCGTGTGCTAAAAACAGGCTTGTTGTTCCATGCTTTCAGGATCAATATGAGAACAGAGTGAGCTATGAAGAACCAAAGATTAAAAGGCGTATATCCCACTGATGGGCCCATCACTCATTCTTAAGGGAATTAAGTATTGATTTGGATGAAAATATAATTGTTTTTGTGGGCGAGGCTGCGTGCTTGTGTGCGAGCGCTCTGCAACTTTTGGAAAAAGTAATGGCCTACAAGTTTGAATAGTACGTATACCTATGATCTTTATGAAAAAAGAAATACAGGTTTTATTTGACAGATCTGCCCAAACTAATGAGCTTATGATCTCCTGTTATGTTTAAACTCATTATGAAATCAAAATGACAACGCTTGTTTTTATTGATATATTCACTGATATTTTTATGCTCAGGCTTTTTTGTAAGTATTGTCTGTAATTATTATATGTTGGTAGTTGGTCCTTATTTTAGTATTTATGTGTTACTTTTTAACACACAGTTCTATAATGTTGTTACATGAAAGTCCCCATCCTCTGAGTCTAATGTTATCTTTCCTAAACATGTGCTGTTAACCCTAACCCTAACCATTAATCCATGGCTTGGCATGACAGTGCTCCAGGCTGGCTTTCTGATAAACACTTGCGCTTCGGCTTTTTCTTTTTTGAGATGCTCAATGGGACTAGAGATTTACCAGTACAAGATTGACCCAAATTGGTCAGATCCTATTATAAGTTAGCCTGAGGCTGATAATGTCACGGGCTGAACTTCACCCTAGCTCACTGGGAAACACATAGTGTGTTCAAAGGTAATATGGTCAATAATAATGTAGAAAATAACCTGACATAAACTTAAGAGTGATGTTAGTGACTTTTTAGCTCATGAACTTTCAGCAATGTTAATGTTGATTGAAAAACCTTCATGCAGCTGCTGGAGTATCAGAGGATTTTATCAAAGAGGATCAAATCAAATGTAAAAAAGATAACTCTAAAGATATTGTTAAGTTATCAGGAACTAATAACGTATTCTTATGTTGTTTTTGCGAGTGTCAAAGACAAATTTATCAAACTGAATGGAAAAAATAATCGCACATGTTCGTGGCAATATATTAAAGAATAGCATATGACCAAATGTGTTACTTTTGTAACTAAACTGTAACTTGTAGTGATTAGATCTCATTACATCCAAGTAATAATTATCTCCTACAGAATAAAGAGTCAGTGAGGAACTCATTCAGACCAGATCAACCAGATCAGATTAGACATGTTTCATCAAGCAGATGATGCATGCAAATGATGGGACTGCACTGTAAAAAGGGATCAGTTGACTTTCAAATATATAAGGAAATTATTAAATAAATAAACTTCATTCATTATTGAAAAAAATGAGGCAATGGGTATCCTCACTCATCACTTTTTACAGTGTGAAGAAAATGAGTGAAAACTATTAAGAATTGACCTACCTCAAAAACATATATATATATTTTTGCTTTGCTTTGCTTTTAAAAAAATGGCACTTAAACCAAACAATTAATCTGAACTTGGGGTTTCTGAGTAAGGCATATGTGGATAGTAACAGATTTGTACAATTAAGTTGAGAAATTAAGTACAATTAACTAAAAAATTGTTAGTTAGAATTACTTGGAATTTACAGCGTACTCATGGGTCAATATTGGGCTGGAATTTGTCATATAGAGAGGAATTCCCCCCCCCCCTCCGCTTCCGGCTCATGGGACCTTATTTAGAGAAAAAAATATGAATGGTAGTTAATGGTGAGAGACAACTTATCTTTTTATTGCATCTTAACTGTGCCCTGAATTACACATATGATGTTTGTCAATTTAAAAGATAATTCTGAAAGTCAAAAACGTTGCAGTTTGTCATAAAACAGAAGAGTAACATTTAGTTTTATGTGAAAATCGTTCAATGAACTACATCTCCCGGGAAGCGAAACGAGATCCGCTGCTCGTGTGTGTGCAGTCTGGTTCAAAACACTCAGGTATGACGGCGTAACGTTACGATTATAACGTAAGACTATAGAAACAATGACAGACAGTAAAGTTAGCATCATTCATTGAGAGAAAATGTGTGCCTTTGGGGTTTGTAGTCTTTGTAATTAGTCCTCAACGGTTTTACATCAAACTGCGACCTTCTTTACTTTAAAATGTATCTTTTAAATTGACAAACATCATATGTGCAATTCAGGGCACAATTCAAACGAGATCAAAATATTTGTTGTCTCTCGCCATTGACTACCATACAATATTTTTCCGAAATAAGGTCCCATGGTGGTCGACCGGAAGGGGAGGGACTTAGGCTCGCTATTAGATAATGACAAACCCTTAAAGTTTAAAATTCATTGCAGTACAATTTGCAAGTTACTAAGCATAAATGTTTGCCAACATAAAAGCTTCGAATTAGATCTGTCTGAAAAAGAACAGTCTATAAACATGCTTTGATCTTCCCCTCTTTATCCATGCCGCCTAATATAAATGTGTGCTGGTATCCATGGAGAGCTCGTCATTGTCACTGGTCATTACTTTGTCAAGAGCCATAGTTACCCTTAGGAACCGTCAGGGTGACAGAGGAGTCTGAATAACAAACTAAAGAGAAGACATTGTGTCCATCTCAGACTAACTGCAAGCCTGAGGGCTCACGCACACTCTTCATTTTACTAAAACTAACACTAACGTTGGATCATTTGCCATTTTTTTCCTTGGTATTGCTTATAGGGTCATTGTGTTCACTGTTTTACTTCTCCAGCACTGGAGGATGAATTCTATTTCTTAGTTAAATATCTGCCACTTTTCAGGACTGACATCAAACTGGACTGACGCTTTACAGTAAGTTCTTTTCATGATTTCCCCCCCCATTATGAAGTGTAATGCTACAAATCTTACCATAATGTTTATGCAAAAAACAGGATTTAAGGTAGTGGGATAAATATTTCATGAGAGCACTTCAACAACCACTGTGGTTTCCCAGCTGTGCCCACAAAAGCCCTTTTAAGCGCGTGGGGAGAAGGCAGTTTTTTTCCTATTGTTACGCCTTTGTGAGACTAACTTGACAGTTGAACGATATGATTGCAGATGAGGAATTTATTTTGCATGGTTGCAATGATCATTAACTAAAACAGTTGATTTATAATGATTTTCCTGTTCTTGCTGGTCTCCATCCATTCATGTTTGAGATTAATTGTTCATGGACTCTTTAAACATAATTCAATCCGCTTCTGCTATCTTCACTGATGAATAATATGCTCTGTTGGAAAACAAAACTCAATTCATAAGCATGTTTCATAATCTTTATCTTTTCATTGCTGTTGGTTGGAATTTTTCATGCTTTATGGTTAATTAATTTCGAGATGTGTGTGTGTTAAAGTCAACATGAAAACAGGACTGACCCTATTTTTGTCTTATTGTGAATGGTTCATCAGTGGACATCATTCCAAGAACAAAATAAAATATAAAATAAAATCTCCAACAACCTGTTCTGTTCTAGTGCGTAAACTTTTTACAGTCCAGTCAATTCTCAATGGATCAATTCAAGCCCCGTTAAATCGTTTTTTTTCTGGTTAATTATCTACTTTCAATCAGAAATACATCTTAATGCGGAAGTAAAATGGTTCGTGAATCTAAAATGGATCGTGATCGTCAATCTAAAACCAAACCGAACAATTAGCATGGTCACAACGCCAACACAGATTCTTTGAGATTGGAAAAACAAAGATTAGCTTTGACTCAATCATGAACAGACATCTCATACGTGATGGCCAAGGATGAACATGTCTATGAGGTAAATATTACCACATTGATGTGGTATGAGCAGAGCAGAGGGGGACATGGAGGAGGATGAAAGTGGAACATTTTACTGACACAAAAATGTTGGCGTTTTAATTAAAGATAGTTGGGGTCAGGGGAACTTCTGTGACTAATGGATATAAACTTAAATATGACAAAGAAAAATGGTTCTATTAATATTTATCACCAACCCTGATCAGTTACACCAAGGATTTAAGACCAGACACTGATAGTTTATTTGTAATCAATTTCAAGCTAATAGGGCCGATGAAACAGGGAGATTTAGAGTTTTATTGACAGTGCCTCTGTTTTGCTTTATTCAAACCCATTACTCATCCACAATGACCCAAACAGACTGAATGCAGCCTCCGTATGTTTAACTGATGAACACTGTGGTGGAAGTGCTCCATCAAAGCTTTTATCTCCTGCTGCTCCTCTCGGTCTCTTTCTCTCTTGCATAAACGCATCCTGACCATTCCGTCAAGAAATTATTAGGTGTTTAAGTAAAGAAATATAGTTAAAGAGTATATTTTATTAATTTTCTAATCTTCACAGAAGCCTGTCAGTTGTTTTCATTGGTAGTGTTATTATAGTATTATTTGTATACTTTTATTTTTTACTTTTAGCTATGTAACTTTTTTTCTTCAAAATATACATTTAACATTTAAATGTAGTTAATACATCATCAATCCTTCACCCAAAACGTGTTTTTGTCTTACCCTGATTCACTATGGTATTAGTGAAAAGGTCAGCCTATTATAAGTGTTAATCAAGGGGGTAATCCATCGACTGGAGCTGCCATCTTGTAGCAGAACTTCACTTGCGTTAGCATTTCCATTGACTCCCATTCATTTTGGCGTCACTTTGACAGCGAATAACTTTACATCTGAGGTGTTGGAAGACTCCATTTGTCCATTATTTATTTCTAAAGAACATAACATGACAATGTATAAAATGCTCCATTACCTTGTAGCTTATGTTATGGCCCCGTAGAAGCAGTTTTTTGTAAAAGTAGGCTAACGATTGCGTCATACCCATGCACGCGACTCTCTGTCGCAACAGAGAGATTACCGTATGGAGAGGAGGAGAAGCTCGCGGGCAATCAGGGAAATGTAGAGACAAAATGATTAATAAGAATACCTAGCAAAGGTTTCTCCTGCTCCTAGCTCATGGACAGCTACTCACACTCTCCGCCTCTACATGTTTCGGAAGGGATGATTCAGATTTCTCATGCCACAGCCACTAGATAACAGAGGGGTTGCTCACGTCACATCTACATCATCAAGATCTGTTTGAGTCGGTTTGAGTCTGCGCGTCAGGGACGTAAGTCCTAAAAAATCTCTAAAAATGGGCTTCACTTGTCTCAATGGAGTTCCAATCGCTCTGTCCACTTCTTATACTGTCTATGGTGTTAATAGTTTAGACCTAGCGAGATGGTTTTTGAGGGAATTGTGTACATGCGTCACTCTCCCAAGTGTGGAGGACATTGTCCAGACTTTGTCCGAAGGCAGAGGAGATGCTTCCCCTAGTAGTGGGTCATTAGATAAACTACTGTAGCTGGCCTATGAACTATTGTGTGAGTTGACAATGCTAGCGAGTTGAGGATGTTCACTCAGGAGGCATCCCTCCTTGCTATCTGTCACTCACAGGGGTCTAGCCAGGATAGGATAGTTAAATACATTAAACATTATATTCCCACTGTTTAGTTCCTTCCCTTCCCCAACTAGTGTTGGGTCTTAAAGTAAGGGTGCACATTTACCTTAGATGAGTGGATCTTTAAAACCCTCTGGCTGACCCTATTTTAACAATATAATGAAGTCCCTCCTCGTTATCTTTCTCTTAAATGGTAAATGCTAGTAAAAGAAAAGAAAAAAACTTTGCACTGGCTATAGCAAGTCATCAAGGAATTTTCTACCTAAACAGTGTTAAAGTAAGGCTTGGCTACAGTGTGGGACCCTAAGGTCGAGTCTCTCTCTCGTGTTGAGGCTCCCCCTTAGAGAGGTCTAGATGGTAGTTGCTGAAGGGTTTTTTATTAACATTGCAGGATCCCTTTTAAGCTGCCCTTTTTGAGCCATAGATGGAATGAGGTGTTTTATCCCTCTCCTATTGTCTTGGGCATTAAAGTAGGGTTCCTTGTACCCTTTTTAAAAAATCAGGGTTGAGCTGTCTTCCCGTGACTTCAGGGGTCTTGAGGTAAGAATAGGCCCAATGTGTTATCCATTGGTCTTATCTCTCTCTTGTTGAGGCTCCGGCTTGGAAAGGCAGCAAAATCAGAGATGGTCGCTGCTGAAGGGTGTTCAACAACATTGAAGGCTCCCTTTGGTAAGCTGCCCTTTTTGAGCCATAGACGGAATGAGGTGTTTTACTCCCTCTTCAATTGCCTTAGGAATTAAATAAGGGTTTCCTTGATCACTTTTAAAGAAGCAGGGTCCAGCTGCCTCCCCCAGACTTCAGGGAACCGTCCCTTGTGTTGAGGCTCCACCTTGGAGAGGCAGCAACATCAGTGATGGTAGCCACTGAGAATGTTTTCACCACGGGCTCCCTTTAGCAAGCTGCCCTTTTGAGCCTTAGGGCTGTTCTTTCCCTGACCATCTTGGATAATAAAGTAGTACATTCTATCTGGATTCTAATGAATCTAATGAAACTGCTGAACATGCTCTTGCAGACACATGGGTCACTAAACAACGCAGCTGCCACTGTAAATGCCGAAGTAATGGTAAGGCTCTATGTCTCATTGTTTTTAGTTGATAATGCTACAGTGTTTCCAACTAGTCAGCATTAAGAATCTATTTAGCTGACCCGGTTGTCAAAAAGCAAATGTAGATGTGCGTGAATAATGTGCGTTGAATAATTATATTCTCTTGGCAAGTGAGATGGATCTGCTGAATACGGTTTTGTATAACGATTGAATGAATAACATAGTCAAGCTTGACATATCAGAGAGTCCATTGGGAGCATATATGATACTGTGAATGAGAGCATGTGTATGTACTGTAGGTGTACGTGTTTTCCCTAGTGCTCTTATGTTAGGCCTTCAAATGATTTATATTTTGGATTGTGTATTTGAAAGACAGACAATTAGGAATTTGTTTGGTTTGATCTTTTTGTATGTGCATGAGTGTACTGTAAATACTGTTGTATCTCTTCAAAGACGGAGAACTGGTGACTGTATGGAATCCCCGCATTTAAGTTAAAAGAGCCTATCCTCTTTATGCACGCATATTAGCTGGACCAGCCAGAACAAATATTGATTTGATTTGATTGATTGATTGATTATAGCATGATTTGAGCTAAATAATCAAAATGTATGATTGTTGGTGCATTTGAACTTAATGGACAATGGCTGAGCTACGACACAACAACCCTCATAGTCCAACAGCAATGGGACATTTCACTATTTTTCACTACTCTTTCCGCATGGTTATATGTTATGCCAGTATGTGCCAACAAGTGACTTCCAATTTGTTAGTCACTGAAACATTAACTGACCCAACTTCATTATACACACAATGGTAAGCTTTATTGTAACTTTGTTTAACCTATTTTGATTGAGCAAAATAGAGCAATGGAGAAAAGTAACTGGCAATGTTGTGTCTAACATGCAAGTTACTCAATGACTTTTTGTTTACTGAACTGTTGCATGAAAGCAATACTTACATTTGTGCTGTTGGTCTGAATTCAGCTAAATTTTTGGTTTTGTTATGATATCGATAATGCTTTATCAGTTTTGTTTAAATATATGGTTGAAATGTCATCATCAGATATGCGTCGCAGAGACTGGTTGCCATGGCCCGGTGAGGCTCAGAGACGAGAAGAAAAGAGGGCCGAAGCCAGACTGGCGGAGGATCTGCAGAGACTCGACCAAGCTAAACATTACCACCTCAACACACTGAACAGAGAGCAGCGCAGACTACACAGAGAGCTCATCTCAGTCAAAACAGGTGTGTGAGTAATTCAATTTCTCTAGACGAAGTTACCGCATTTCACATATTAAACGTATCTGTTTCGTGTCAGGTAATCCCTGGAAAAGAGGACTCCACAGTTTAGGGCTACGACCCTCCAACCATGATGTTGGGCGGCCTGGTGCGTCCTACAAGAGGACCCTATTACCCATCATCCCACTGGCAGGCAAGGAGGCAGATAGGTGAGGCTAAGATCAGGACTTTGATTGCATTTTCTCACGATATTACAATTTAAAAATATATAATTTTCCAAATAAATTTAATTTTATATTATAATTATGTTTATGTTGTGGCCAATTTTCAATTTCTACAATCCTTTGTTTAAATAAATAAAAAATAAAAAAAAATAAAAATCATTTGAATACTACAGGTAAATTTGCAGTTCATTTCGATTTTGAGAATTACTAAATATTCCATTTAACAGTGTTATTAAATTATTAGTGGAGTTGTGAGGGTTAAATAAATAAATGTAAATGAAAAAAACCCAATTAAAATAAACTACAATTACAACTGATATAAATGAAAGTATCTTAAGTATTTGCTAAAACCAAAATATTTTGTGCATCTATAACTTTAAATTTGTTCATAATATCAGACTATCATAGTATTACTATTACCGGTATTTTTATCCAATAAACATTAATAGTTGGATCCAACTGATCTATATACAGTAAGCGAAGCCACTGATAATTTCTGATGGAGTTCAAAGGAAGTGTGTTGTGCCAACATGAAGCTAATCTCTTTAGCACCTCATTATATAATATGGCTATCCAGCTCTGTCTTCCCCTGTATCCCAGCTTCAGCCGTGGCATGCGCCCCACTCTGCAGTTAGACAGGGGTTGGCATGGATTTCAATGAGGAATGAGAGAATTTATTCCACTTGATACTAGACACAGCACAACTTCAAACAGAATGTGGAATATGAATCTGTTGCAATTATGATCTCTCCTTTGGGGTACAATCTTAAAAAAGGAAGCCAGACGCCACCCACTCCTCTATAAATGTTTGATATTGTATCTTAGACCCACTTTGCATTCAAAAAGTTGCACCTAGGATAAGGACAATTAATGTGTTTACAGTTAAAGTCTGACAAATATCCCTGAAATGCGTGTCCTGAGAAATCACAAGTCTCTGTTTCAGATGTAGGCTAAGATCTATCAACAGCAAAAACATATTGTTTACCAAAACGAAAATAATGCATGAATGCTTAACCTTTTGTTCATGATTATTTATTGAATTGTAACATTTAATATGCCCATTCCTTGTGGGATCCTGGGAGCCAGGTTAGTGTCACACCACACTCACTGCCTCTATTTCAGTTCGTTATGCTTCCCCGTGTTGGGCCCCAGCAGTCCCCCTCGCTGCCCCTCCACGGGTACATTGGTTGTCCCCTTGGAGCCTAGCTAGAGCTTCCAAGCCCGTCCCGCTGGTTCTTGCAGACAATCAGACTTGACTATGCGATTCAGTTTGCCAAGCACTTTTGGGCTCCTGGACGGGACCTCGACTGTGGTAGCATACCTATTGTCTAGAGTTGATGGCAGTGCTGCTCGCCCTGCGTCGGTTTCAATCGTTGCTTTAGGGCAACACTGCGATGGTTGTATATATCAACCACCAAGGCGGTGTACGCTCATGTTGGCTGTCTCAACTTTTCCTCCATCTCCTCCCCTGGAGTCAGTAGTGGCTCAAGTCTCTCACGACAAATCACATTCCCGGGAGAATGGAGACTTCCTCCCCTGGTGGTCCCACTGAGGCCTCCCAGGAGTCATCCCACTGCTAGCTCTTTTGGGTCTTTTCAACACCTAATACCTTTGCGAGATTCAATCTCCAGTTGGAGTTATTTGTAACGCTTCCTTTTACAGTACAGTACTTACAATGTACTTACAGTGTACTTACCTAGAAAGTACTGGCTAATATAAGGTAAGTACATGGAACAGGGGTAGGTTTAGGGGTAGGTTCAGGGTTAGTACTAGTTATTGCCCAGTAATTGTAGTTACTAAAATAAGTACATAGTATTTACATGGGTAACTGGACTGTAAATGAAGCGTTACCGAGTTATTTTCTTCCCGTGTTTTGGGAACAAACAGGTAATGTGTGGGAAGGCTGGCTTGATGAGTTCCCCACTTGGCGAACCCTGAATTAATTTTCAGGCCCAGTACTCGAGATCCCCCATGTGTTGTTATTCCCCCTTGGTAATCCCTTGTATTCATCCAAGGTGTGTTTCCTATCTGTAAAGCTGTATCTTTCCTTGGGCAGATTTTTCTCTGCCCACTACCACAGAGGTCTTCAACATGTGGCACTGCCCCACGGGTCAGTCCATGGGCCCTATTTTAAAGATCTGAAACGCAAGTAGCAAGCGCAAAGCGCAAGTAACTTTATGGGCGGGTCTTGGGCACTGTTGCTATTTTACCGGCGGGATAAATGACTCTTGCGCCCAGCGCAAGTTTAAAAGGGGTTGGTCTGAAGTAGCTTCATTATTCATAGGTGTGGTTTGGGCGTAACAAACCAATAAAAGCGTCATATCCCCTTCCCTTTAAGAGCATGATGAACGAGGTGCACTTTTTCTATGGCGCAATTCTGTTTTAACGGCGCATTTACCAGGCGAGATTCACAATCGGTTCACAGCCGAGGAGATAGATGTTTTCGTCAGGGCCGTAAAAGAAAGAGAAGGGACATTGGGGATGCGACAAACCAGTGCAGTCTCATCCCAAGACGTCATATAACTGACGTCTTGGGACGTCTTTTGACCATACATCAACATCCGCCTTTTTAGGGAACCCTTAAACGTCGGTTAGATGACGTTATCGGATCCTAACCCTACCCCAGACCTAAACCCACTTCTAAACCTACCCCGTCACCTAACCGAGGTAAAGCATGAAATGTCAGTTGTATGACGGCCCGGGATCGGGTCTGAAAATGGGTAATCACAGACACACACAGATCCATCCATCCTCAAACACATACAAACGACTTAGTAAAAGATTTATGATGTTTTAGCCCCCTTCATTGATATGTCCATCTTTTAATATATTTGTTCCACTGTCTACCTCTCAGATTTGTCCTGTCTGAAATATTCGATCGGCACTTTCAAAAGGGTGAATGAATGAGAGCGAGGGAGGAGGGGGCAAAATATGTTTTAAAATGAGATCTGTAGTCAGTCAAACGAAGGAAATGGAGAAAGGCCGTGGTAGACTAATGGTTAAAGATCTGGGTCTCTAATGAGACAGCGAGAGAAACCTCTCTCCTCCCTGTTCCCTTGAGCAAGACGCATCTCAAGATGCTCAACTGGAACTGGCCATTCAATTAGTGAACCAAAGGTTTCTTTGGATGGCAAGCATCTGGTAAATAGCGAGAAAGAAACAAGAGAGAAGAAATTAGGCCATCTCTCTCTCCCACAGCACACCGTCTGCACTTCTTGTAACATCTTCTGTCTGTTCTGCCTCTCTGCGGACCTGCAGGGAGGTTAGTGGTTGTTCGTCTTTATGCTTGTTAGGCAGACACCCTGTGGGCAGCCAACTAGTGCCTACTTCACTATACTTCCCCTTATTTCCTGTTTTCTATCTCTCGTTCTTTCCCTTCAAGCTCACTCTCTAACAGAGACACTCTTTCATGATTGTTTCATTTCCTTTTCTCTCGTCTGCATTCTCCACACTCATCCATCATTTTCCTAATCTTCCATTCCTTGAGTCTACATGGTGATACTGAACGTTTTGAAGTGCCCAGTCCGTGTGCCATCAGACCAGCTTTACATTTCCACAAAAAACGTTTTACCAACCTACTGTCTTTTACTGAGTGCATAAAATGTTATTTGGTGTAACGATCTCGTAAAAATGAAACCGAGTGCATCATTGTGGAGCCACTATCCAATTAGCGGTGTCCATTACAGCTCCAGATTAATTGCTGTGCGAGTTCCCAGGATTTTTAATGCAAGTTGACTTTTACACTTTAAGTAATTAATTCTCAGTATTTCTTCTCAATCTCTCCAGGTCCTCCTCTCTGCAGGCTCGTGTTCAGGAGTTTATCAGCAGTGGGGAGAAAAGCGCAGAACACTCTGAGACTCTCTGCCTACCGGACCTTAAATGGCAGACTGTCACATCTCTGACTGCTGCATGTACAAATACAGAAAGAGAGGAGAGCAAGGAGAGACAGGTGGATAGAGAGAGGGAGGCACACATGGAGGTAGTGAGAGACAGAGAAAAAGACAGCCAGAAAGAGAGAGAGTGGATGCTGTTAAGGGAACGAGAGAAAGATAATGAAAGAGGAGCTGAGATAAATGGGAATAGGTGTCCATCCTCTCCTATTTTATTCCCCTCTGAGATGTTAGCTCCTGATGGACATTTAAGAACAGTTCACACATTACCAAACTTTGCACAGGCTCTGACCGAAGCAAGAAAAGCAAGATACATCAGACACAGAGGACACCCCTTGTGTGAGCGAGAACTCACCATACGAGAGATATTTTCCCAGGATTCAAGAGATATAGTCACTCTGTGAGACACAAAAACAGTGGTTCTCAACTGGTTTTGCTTCAAGATCAGATTTTTCATTGGACAGCATTTTCGACCAAACATAGTGCCATAATTGAGCCCGTTGACATCCCAAGGCGTCATATACGACGCTTTTGCCAAAGCGTAGACATCCAACGCACATATAGCGTCAAATGAGACGCAGATATATATGGGCCAGAAGGCGCCTCCTAGTGGTCTAACCCTAACCCTACCCGTCTGGGGTAGGGTTAGGGTTAGACCACTAGGAGGCGCCTAACCTACCCATAACCGAAGCGTCTCATTTGACGCTAAAGGGTGCCATGTGCGTTGGATGTCTATGCTTTGGCAAAAGCGTCGTATATGACGCCTTGGGATGAGAATGCGTTGCATAATTGTGTTGATAGGTTGGTGCAGTTTTGGTGCATTTGTAGTATATTAGTTTTGAAACTTGCCATCGCTAACTTTCCGGAAATGTTCGATCGGGCTGGTAAACACTTTTGAACTACTATTGGTCTGTGTTAATTATGTAATGGGTAGGTGTGGATCTGAGGCTCTGCCTCCTCTGACATGTACAAGTTGGAGCTCCATTCAGTTCTGAGTTTGCAAGTTATAATTATGAGTTCTATGAAGACTTGAATGCTTATTACAAGTCAAAATTTCTTACACTAATTCCGACAAAGTGTAAATGTACCTTTTACTATCCCATTTACTATATTTCTTTTCCTGCTGTCCATGATCCTATCAGAAAAGGCTGGTGAGTCACAACCCACCAGTTGAGAATCGCTGTATTAAAGGAATAGTTCACCCCCCCCCACCCCCCACCCCCCAAAAAAAGTAATTTTTTGGAAAATTGTTCCAACCCTGTATGAGTTTCACTCTTCTGGTGAACACAAAGAGGATTTTTAAAGAATGTTGGTAATCAAACAAACATTGCCATTTACTTCCATAGTAGAAAAAAAATACTATGGAAGTCAATGGCTACCTCAAACTCTTTGGCCAGAAACATTCTTTGTTCAACAGAAAAAACACATACTTGTTTGGAACAACATGAGGGTGAGCAAATTATGACACATTTCATTTTTGGGTAAACTTTCCCTTTAAAAATGCACACAGTAGGCTACACGCTTCATTGTTCAAGGCAAGCATCATGCCTAAATGATTAAATAATTGTAACAGTTAATTACAAAGACAGCTACATCAAGTAGACCTACAAACACCTTTAATATTTATGTTTACTTAAATCTACATGAACCACGCTATTTTAGGATGGTTTGTTCTTATCAGCTCAAATTATGTCAATAAAAACAACCAACAAAGCTGTTTTCTTCATTTTATCAGGACATCTGTCACAATCTGTGAATACTGGGTACTTTACTACTTTCAGTGTTCTTCATTTCATCAGTAGACCTCTTCTGTAGGTATCAAACTTAACATCATATTACATTATCGCCCTCTGTTGTTGGTTCTTTGAGTGTTGTACACTAATATCATACGCGTCGCATCGCGTCGATCGCTTGATTGGTGAACTGTGTCTACGTCAGAATTCCGAGTTACGCGCCTGAGAGTCAAGTCGTTTCAATTTTCGCGTTATGAGACTTTTAAAACGTGTAAATAAACTCGAACATTAAATATACGCTATTAAACACATTAGACTGTGACCTGGAAAATGAGTCTCTCTGTAAGCGTCGAGGTGAAGAGGGTTGACAGTTTGTTTGAGGAAGTGAAGTGGAAAAATACACAAGCAAACTTGACAGTGTTGACGGCGTTTCGCAAGGCATGAATCTCCCACACGGCTTATTATTAACAGCAACAGCTCCGGTTTAATTCCGGGTTATACGGTTTCAATTCTGGTTTTGGGCCAACAAAGATCGCTGTTACTAGCTATCCACGAAAAGACCATATTTATCATGAGTGTAGTGCGCAGAGTTGCTATGAGGGCTGGGGTGTTTCTCCCTCAGCCCAGCGTTCAGGTGATGATGGCAGCGCGCTGTGTGTTTGCAGGGCCGATTAAGCGACTTTCCCCCCGGGTTAGTTTTACTCAGTCCCGCTCGTGGTGCTCTGATGGGCCAGTTTCTGATCGCAATGAAGTCCGGCTGCATTGGCTGGATGGTGAAGACAACGGTAGGTGCATCAACTATATTGCTGCACGCTTGCAGACGCGCCTTGCTGCAAACACACACACACACACACCTGTGTCTACATCTTACAGGCGTATTTGTGATGTTAACTTAACTTAGCAAAACTGAAAACGAAAGTGACTTATGTTGTTTATTTTATTTTTGTCTTCAGAAACTCTTACTCTTAATGCATAGACACAATCATCTATGTTCACAGTAAATCATGAAAGTTTCAAGATAAGAGATTCATTGTCACCAATTAGCGTGGAGCATGAACCAATTCGACTACAATATCCAGCTAATATTATATATTTTTGCTTTGATTCCAATGTTGTGATAGTGTTTTGCTTCAGTACATCACACACTTTGTTGAATGATTACACTATGTTGTGTATTCTCTCTACAAGAACTGCAGTACTTTTACAGAGACATATTATATGTATATAGATGTATAAATTTGTTTTTTTTTTGAACCAATGCTTGTGCAAGTGCAAGATCTCTTTAAAGATGTGCACAATGCAATGTTTTGAACATTAGACAGCCTTTGTTACAAGTGATAACCGTTTTGAGTTTTGTGTCTAGAGTTTTTAAAAATGACATCAAGGTTCTGAAAATAGGAGCAAAGTGATTGTAAAAAACTGCAATTACCTTCCATCCGTATTATTCCTTCAACATGTAGCCTGTAAGGAACTATGAAGAGTAGTTTAGTTTGGAGATTGAAAGTGAAAACAGAAAAATAATATTACTCTTGTACCTTATAATATACAGTATTGTAGCTTTGTTCAGGGATTCTTAACAGTTTTTTTTTTGCTTCACGAATATGAGTGTTGATTTTTTTGTTGTTGTGTGAAAGTAAACAACATTCTACATATTAGGCAAGGCATATCATGACAGAACTATATATATATATATATATATATACAAAGTTCTGTCATGACCATAAAACTCTAGATGGCACTGGCTGATAGGTCTAGAACTCATTCTGCTAGCAATCACATATTTTTGTACATGGCACAGCTGATTGGTTTATGATGCATCAGGAGCCAATGAGCTTACTGATGCGCGTTCGTGACTCTCCTGTTCGAACTCGTTCATCAAAATGAAAAAATCTTTTTCCGAGTCATTTGGTTCATTCAACGAACGAAATGAACGAATTGACTCGAGAAAAGATTCGTTCATTTTGATGAACAAGTTCGAACAGGAGAGTCACGAACGTGCATCACAGAACTGTGCAAGGCAACCATTTGAGCTTATAAAACTTAAACTTTGTTATTTATTTTTTTAAATGACTGATCATTTCGCTTGATAAGACCCTTGTTCATCGTCTGGTGTCGTTTAAAGCACTTAAACTGAAACTTTGCACTGAAACTGTCTTTTGGACCTTGAACCGTTTGGTTCCCATTGAAGTCCATTATATGGAGAAAAATGCTGGAATGTGTTCATTAAAAACCTTAATTTCTTTTCGACTGAAGAAAGAAAGATGGATGACATGGGGGTGAGTAAATTATCAGCAAAAGTTTTTTTTTAAAAGTGAACTACTCGTTTAACATTGTCATATTCATTACCATGCTAAACTCTCAGAGAGGTGTCATGTTATAAATAAGGCAATGAATATAGATGCAAGCAGGATTTACAGTGCCAAGCATAATAAGGGTCAGATTTAGTGTTGTTCGGCAAGTTTTTAAGGCGAAATTCAGTAATTTAACAAGAATCCAAACGATTGGGAATTTTACATTAGGGTGAAAGATTTCCCAATGCAGATTTCACAACACAGAAAGCGAGTTGGTTTGAAATTGACTTCTGTCTGAGCTGTGCTTCATACATCACAACAAAATTAACATTAGACAATGGATCTGTATTCCCAGCAAAAGTTCGCAGAAATTTCACAGAAAATTTGCTTATGTGACCAAACCTTTACAGGATAAACAAACTATTACAAGAATGTTTAATGCGTCGTCACATCCCCAGTCAAGCCATGATGGGAACAGACCTGTCACCCACCTGTTGACTTTGGCAGTTGGCACAGCGTTCATTTCTCTCTTTCTCTTGTCTGCTTAGGTATAGTGGAAGTGCTGATGTGTCGTGACAGAGCGCGGAACTCTCTGGGTCGCGTGTTTGTGAGTCAGGTGAGTCGGTGTGTGTGTGTGTGTGTGTGTGCAGAAAACGCCCTGCCCTACAGCATCAAACATGTAGAAAGCAGGTCAAGTTCAACTATTTCTGATCTCTTCTAAATGTAGGATTTATAAATGTAAATGTAATAAATGTAAATTATAAATGTAATTTGACCCATGTGATGATATAGCTCCATCATTTTAATGGTGCTTTCAATTTCCACCACACATATTACAAGACATTCTTTTATGATCTTTTGAGATGTAAATAATAGAGCTGTCAAACGATTAATCGCATTTAATCGCATCCAAAATAAACGTTTGTGTTTACATAATATCTGTGGGTGCAATGTGTGTGTATTTATATATATATATATACAAAATAATTACACACATATGTACGGAAGAGGATTAGGGCCAAGCAATAATAAAAAAAATAAAAACCATCTAGAGATTAAAGCCATTATAATGCGAGATTAAACTCGTTAAATTTCGAGAAAAAAGTCGAAATACAATCTTGAGAATAAAAGTTTCGAGAAACATGACGTTGTGTTTCGAGAAACATGACTTTATTCTCGAAATTTAATGAGTTTATTCATTCTTTGTATTTAATGAGTTCATTCTCAAGTTTGTATTTCAACTTTTTTTAAAAAATTTAACGAGTTTTTTTCTCAAAACATAACGACTTTATTCTCGATATTGTTTATTCGACTTTATTCTCGATCTTAAAGAGAAACACAACGACTTTATTCTGTATTTTGACTTTTTTTCTCGAAATTTAACGAGTTTAATCTCACATTATAATGACTTTAATCTCAAGATGGTTTTATTTTTTTATTATTGCTTGGCCCTAATCCTCTTCCGTACACATGCATGTACATTTAAGAAAAAAATATTTATATATAATATAAATTATATATAAATCTATATACAGTATATACATGAAAATATTTCTTAGATATATACAAGCATGTGTGTGTATTTATATATATATATATATATATATATATATATAATAATTATATACAGTGTACCCACATATATATTATGTAAACACAAACTTTTATTTTGGATGCGATTAATCGTTTGACAACCCTAGTAAATAAATAAATAAGTGACAAAAAATTTATGATATGATACAACCCAATCACTGTTATGGTTTTTAAATATTATCTTCAATTGATTTGTGGATGTTCTATTTTCCACAAAGTAGAATAAGAATCATTTTTTCATAAGAATGTCTGGCAAAAGTGTGTCAGGCCTTAAATAAATAAAGACAAGAATAAAAAGGGCATATTTCTCCCAGAATTCTGCCTCGAATCAATTTCTTGAGTTTTATCTTTCTCTGTCTATTTATGCATAAATATCTGACATTTTCTGTGTAGATGAGAGAGCTGGTGTCATCGATACATCATGACGCAGCAGTTCGTGTGGTGATCTTTAGGAGTTTGATACCCGGAGTCTTTTGTGCAGGTTTGTGTAAGGAATCAATCTCTCACACAAAACCAAAGGCAACTTTGCCAAAGTTGATGTAATTATAATTAAAAGACTTTCTCGTGCTCATGTTGTATTGTACAGGAAATACTGTATCAGTATTCAGATATTTGCATATGGCATAATTAGTCTTTTTGTGTGTTAACAGGAGCAGATCTTAAAGAGAGAGCCAAGATGAGTAATCCTGAAGCAGAGCTGTTTGTTCATGGCCTGCGATCACTAATGAGTGACATCGGTGAGACATTAAGATAATGATTCTCATGAATATTGTGAAATGACTAATCCTCCACATAAAGTGCAGTATTGTAATGATACAAAAGTCTGAATTCTGAAAAGGTAATGTTTCCCAGCTGCAAATATGATTGGCTGGAGGAGGTGAGAGTGATTGGATATAATAAACCCACAGAAAGCTAATTTTCCCCTCAATGCACTCAGCTTTTGCTAAGTCATGCAAATAACATTTTGGGGAAATGCAGCTGTTTTTATTAGCAGTAAGAACATTCTCTATATCATTTTCTACATGTTTAATAAAAACTAAAGTAAATGAGTGTGCACACAGTTGGGTGAAATGCTTTAATTAAAAAGAAAAGGAAAACAAACCTTTATCAACTTAACAGTTTGAAAAATGAACTTGATTTTCTGTATTTGATATTTTGTTTCATTAGTAAAACAATATTTTAAATATCGACTAATTTTAAAAACCTAAAATATATTCGTCGTCTGTGTACCACATACTTCAGGATTTTCTCTAATTACAAAACAATTCTCTTTTTGTGCATAAAATTGCGTCACCCAGGAAGGAAGTGACATAATTTGAATTTCTTTTCTAAAGCATGACAGGAAGAAAAATAGTTGCTTAAACCATTTTCTCAATTTTGACATGTATTGTTTGTTGACAGCATTTGTCAAGCTCAAAATTGAACAAAAGGAAACATATTTCTGTAATTTATAAGAAATATGGGGGTCATTACATTTTTTTTATTACTGTATGTTCAACATTTTTTTTTCTATTTCAGATAAATGCTATTCTTTTGAACTACCTATTATTCAAAGAATCATAAAACAAAAGTATCACAGTTCCCACAAAAATATGAAGCAGCACAACTGTTTTCAACATTGATAATAATAAGAAATGTTTCATGCATGTTAGAATGATTTATGAAGGATCATGTGACACTGAAGGCTGGAGTAATGAAGCTGCAAATTAATACATTTGATGTATTAAAACAGAACATTATAATATATACTAATATTACTGTTATTATTACAGCAGCCTTAGAAAAGAGTACAGTACAAGAGACGTCTTCCAAAAACATTAAACTCCAAACTTTTAACATTCCCAATTGAACTATGGTCTATTTTTATAACGGTAGAATATTTTTAAAATGGTAACTTTGTGTTATTTGAATCCCAGATTTTCATTGTGTCCCCTCTCCGCACCGAGCACATTCAGTCGAGTGTTTCAGGAGAGGTCCAGCTGTTTGAAAGCTTCTCTCATTAACGTGATCTATGACCTGTCTGATTGGTGTGTGTGTGTCCATTATGTGCCAGCTGCGCTGCCCATGCCAACCATCGCGGCGGTGGACGGCTTTGCTCTCGGGGGCGGTTTGGAATTGGCTCTGGCGTGTGACCTTCGCACTGCAGGTGAGCGGCTTGACCTTCTGAGGGTAGATCACCACGGGTATCGCAGCTGCTGATGGTGCAGGTGTGGGGTTGCGTGATTTGTTGCAATTCTGTTTAGCACGTCACGGACCGGGGAATTTCGGCGGTCACTGCGTGAGAAGGCTGGGTCCTTCAACTGACCTTTGTCTCTGATTGTGTGTGTGTGTTTTGCAGCACATTCTGCGCAGATGGGCCTGATTGAAACTACAAGAGGATTACTCCCAGGGGCTGGTGAGTAAAAATAAATGAATAGATAGAGCGACCTGAAATAATAAGAGTCCCATTACAAAAAGAGAAACAGATAAACAGGAAGAAGACCGACGTAATTGGAGAGTGAAATCTCTTTATTGAATTATAATTATAACACATTTTAACATGACATAATTTAAGGCAAGACACACCAGTTGAATAGGGTAAACATTGAGCTAATAGATATCACCATACTTCCCCTGTTGATTTATTACATTATGAAGTTTTCTGAAATGTTGTTTGAATATGCAAATGAGGTATATCTAATATGTAGTTAAATGTGTAATAATTTGCATTCATTTCCAGAACAGAAGTCTGAACATTATTTCATTTGGTTGACGTATTAAAGTTAAACGTTTTAACTCTAAATCAGAAAATACTGTCAACTGCCAGATTACAAATCACCATGTTTTTAGGAAACAAAAAGATCAAATCAGGCAAATGACACATGGACCAAAACCTCTGTAACCTTTAGAATTTAAATAGATGTATTTAAGTGCTACTGAAGCGATATTTACGATTTTCAGAATTATGGCTCTACAGTATGCTTAAAAAAAAACGATTTCGATAAAACGCCCCATAAAGATATGTTTTTAAACCATTTCCAACATTCTTCAAAATAGCTTCTTTTGTGTTCCACAAAGTCATACATGTTTGAAACTACAAGCATTATCAATAGGGGAAAAAAAAAAAAAACATGCTGAAACAAGCGTACCTCCAAATTATGTTTTTCATTAAAAAAAAAATAATAAAAAAAACGATTTGCTAGGATTATTTTCTAATTTAATGAACAACTTTGAGCTTCGGTGAATTGAAAATAAAAATAACACGAACCAAATGTTGTGGCATATGTATCTGATTACTTTTTAAAGCCGCCATATAGTAAATCATCATTTCTCTGTGTTTATCAGGAGGCAGTCAAAGGTTGCCCCGGACGGTGGGCTTTGCCATGGCAAAGGAGCTGATTTTCACAGGACGCCGTGTCGGGGGTGAAAAGGCTGCAGAATTGGGGCTGGTCAACCGCTCCGTGCCACAGAACCAGACAAGAGACGCGGCCCACAAAGAGGCTCTTAGTCTTGCACGAGAGATCCTGCCTCAGGTGAGTCTGCAGGACATTTCCATTATTTACTTTTTCTCTCAGTCTGAGACACTTTCTCGCCTCTTCTACTGTCTTGCTGAATTATACTCTCTTCTGTTGTGAACACACTCCAACACTATGGGTTACACTCTGATAGTGTCCTTGTGAAGTGGACTTTCTTAGCTCTTTAGGAGTGTATATGCTTACTTCAAAAGGGTGTTGCACACTGCATTATACAAAACAACTGGACATCAATATAGACAGGAAAATTTACCCACTGCATTAAACACCGCAGACACTGCATAGCAATCAAGAAAATTTGTTTGGTCGACCATGATACATTACACAATTTATATACTCACTATATAGACAAAAGTATTTAGACACACCTCTTAATTTTTGATTTCAGGCATTTCAATCAATTGCCACAGGTCAATAAAATCAAGCACCTAACCGTGAAAATAATTTTTAGAAAACAGAAAATGTAGTGTCATTTTTGTATATTTTTAGAAAATAGAAAATGTAGGGCTGTCAAACAATTAATTGCGATTAATCGCATCCAAAATAAAAGTTTGTGTTTACATAATATATGTGGGTGAACTGTGTATAAATATTTTGTGTATATATATATATATATATATATATATATATATATATATATATATATATAAATAAATACACACACATGCATGTATATTTAAGATAAAATTTTATTTATATATAAAATATTTATATTTGTATATAATATAAATCTATATACAGGAAATACATGAAAATATTTCTTAAATATATACATGCATGTGTGTGTATTTATATATACAGTATATATATATATATATATATAGAATATTTATACACAGTGCACCCACATATTATGTAAACACAAACTTTTATTTTGGATGCGATTAATCGCAATTAATCGTTTGACAGCCCTAGTTCTCCGTTTAGGATTAGATCTCGACAATTAAGCCAACCAATCCTTTCGCATTTGTCTGACCTGTGATGGCTTTGACATGCATCGCTGTGATGCCCATTTCGGTTGCTTGTTTTACTTGGTCTTCCATGAGTGCGACCAAAGGAGAAACCACAATGACAACTGGGTTTTCATTGCGTCCCATCTTCTTAGCGGCCATCAGATCCAGCTGATAAATGAAACTTTTGCCGAATCCCTTTGGAAGGACAGCAAACACATCTTTCCGATCGGCAAACGCCTTGATTGCAGTTCTCTGTTCGTCTTTTAAAATTAATGCGCTGTCGATTTCTTCTAAAATAGACGCGATACCGGAATCTATTCATCTCAAATCTCCTGCTGCAGTCATCTTTGTTGTAAACCACTTCAAACCAAGCGCTCTTTGATTATGTACCTGTAGATCATCTGTCCATCATCGTATAAAGCCCGCCCTGGAAATTTGATTGGCCCGACCATTTTTTTACTGATCATAATTACTCCTCAATGGATCGAGTCCAGACTGAACTTCCCAACCAAAAAATGTTGTGGGCGGGGTTCGGGCTGGCATCCAGGCTAGGGCATTGGTACAGTTCATGAAATTTCATTCCTGCTAGATGTTCCACGGTCAACTGTAATTGACATTATTGGAAAGTGGAAGCGTTTGGGAACAACTCGAGGCGGAAGACCACGTAAAGTTAGAGCAAAGAGTTCCAAACTTCCACTGGCATTAAAATCAGCACAAAAACTGTGCGGCGGGACCTTCATGGAATGGGCTTCCATTGGCGAGCAGATGCTTGCAAGCCTCACATCACCAAGTACAATGAGAAGCATCAGATGGAGCGGTGTAAAGAACTTCACCACTGGACGCTTCTCTGTTTAGCAGTATAAAGCTGCGTCGCTGCAGGTCGCCAGTGGCTGCGCTGGAGGGCGTTCCCACTACTGGTTACCTAGTAATGTTTGTGAGTGACATTCACGGAAGTTACTCTATGTTAGACAACAAATGCGTTTTATTGCTGCTACAAACAAATATTTTGGAAGGAAAAGTCTAAATATAAATGGAATCAGTACATAAAATGCATAATATTAAAGATGAACGAGAATCAGTGAGTGCTTTTTGCCATCGCGGCTATTTAACTGCAGCAAACGTGCAAATACCGGTCTATCTGGGTTCCCAAAACCATTCAGTCACGGAGTCAGTATGGTGAACACCACTGTATGTACATGGAGATACTGTATATCATCCATTATAGGACAGTTTCTGACTGCTAAAATGAGCTTCTCGTTCAACTTGGCTCGGTCAGACTCAGCACTGAAGAGTGACGCGCTCCACTGACTTCACTAATATTGGTTGTCGCTCGCGAAAATCACTCTTCATTTGCATAAAGTTAAAAATTTCTCAACTTTGTCGCGTCGCTGGACACGCCCCACCGGTCGCGACCATGCGTGTCGCTGGAAGTTGCCCGCTCACCATTGAAAATGAATGTCGCTTGGTGACATTTAGTGTGAACGCAGCTTAATGGGTGATGGGAGAGATCTACTTGTCCGACACGACAGTCGCGTGTTGTCGCGTTGCCTCCCCACATTTGTACTTTTATGGGCGTTCCTCAAGTTTACCACTATGGGCGTGGTTTTGAGCCAGTGCCCAGTCTAGAACAGACGACCTGCGAGAGACCCCCCCCCCCCGTCTCCTTATGCTCTACTTCTATTGGATAGTCGCGACGCATTCAACGGAATTAATTTGCATAAAGATGGGCATCGGCCAGCTTTTTGACGCGCAGCATTTTTCCAAATGAAGCGCCGCCTTCCCGGGATGCATTGCGGGCGCGTTATAGTTGCGTGACGTCACCCATAGGAATAAAGGCCAATTTATACTTCTGCGTAGGGTACGCCGTACCTATATCAGACGCGTCCCATATTGCGTACCCTTCGCCGTAGCCTGACGCGCACCTCTTCAAAAATGTAACTACCCGTCGACGCGGACCGCAAGATCGGTGATTGGTCGGCTTGGTAGCATCGCATTTCCTCCTACGCATTTCTGCACGTACCTTCTCACGCATTTCCATACGTACCATCTCCTCTAACGTCTCTGACTCCAACATGATCCGCTCTCTTTCAGTGGCTATTGCTTGTAGTAACCTAGCTGCGAGGAATCTAAACAGTGGAACATTAAAACCCTCCGCCGCCAACTAGCGTTTCGGAGCAGTACTGCAGAGCAACCAAGACCTGAACGCAGAAGTATAAATGCTCACAACAGTGTCGCCTACGTGCGTAGCCAACGCCGTACACTACAGCGTACCCTTGACGCAGAAGTATAAATTGGCCTTAAAGTGGAGCGCGGGACGACTGAAGTGTCGCACGGACAAGTGGATCCGCAACGTGAGTCTGGTTTTGGCGGATGGCAGGAGAATGTTACCTGCATAAATGCATTGTGCCAGCTGTAAAGTTTGGTGGAGGAGGGATAATGGTGTGGGGCTGTTTTTCAAGGGTTGGGCTAAGCCCCTTTCTTCCAATGAAGAAAAAATGAAAATTCTTCAGTACACCAAGACATTTTGAACTATGCTATTCTTCCAACTTTGTGAAACAGTTTGGGAAAGGCCCTTTTCTATTCCAGAATGACTCTGCACAGTCATAAAGGTCCATAAAGACATGGTTGGATGAGTTTGCTATGGAAGTACTTGTGAGCTGGACCATGTGAATGTGTGTGTGTGCCTAATTTTGCTGGGTTTTTCCACTGTGTGCAAGTGTTGCTTAGATATTAATGTGTGTTTATGTTAGTTTGTTTCTGTGCTTTCGAAAATTGTTCTCATACTAGCACAGCTGTACCCACAAGCATTTCACTGGGTGTACTTGTGATTTAATCCCTTTTGCATCATGTGACACTGTTCTGTCACGGAGACCGTCTCCCATCATGACTCGAGACGACAGGCTGGCCATGAATATATGTATGGCCTCAAGAAAGACAGACCTCAAATGTTCCATTACAATCTTCCCTAGTGTCCAGAGCACACTATTAACTCCATAAGCAATGCAATTACAAAAGATGTGTGTAATCCAGTGCTTGATCTTGTTGTACGTTACCTTTGGAGTGAACCAATATCAGTCATATCTTTTAATATCAGTCATTACATGACTTAGCATGTGGAGTTGTGGAACTTGAATCTCCTGTACTTTACTAAACTCTCACGTGTGTCTTGACCTTGAGAACAGCCTGCTTTTCTGGTTTTCCCAGTGATTGACAAGCCGTTAAATTAGATTAAAATTAAGTTGGCCTATTTAGGTCAGTGTGAGAACTGCATTCTGACATGTGGCACAATAACTCCTGTCAGCAGCACTTCTGTCTACCTGAATTCACTGTGTCATCGTGATTATGTGACCGTGTCAAAAACAGATACAGTGCAGATTTTACAGTTGCACTGATAGATAATAAACAGAGGCGTGAATTGTTGACTCTGTAAGATTTAATGCATTAAATTGATCGAAAGTGACAGTAAAGACTTTTACATTCATACAAATGAGTTCAAATTGAGGACTATTTCAAATACTCGCTTTTCTTTCGAACTTTCTAATCATTAAATTATTAATATTTATTATTTAATTAATAATTAATGTATTTAATATAAAACATAATTTTTAAATATTTTCAAATACAAAATTATAATAATATTTTCAAATATTACTGTTTTTGCTTATGCAGCCTTGTTTTATGAAACTGTGTGTAAAAAAATCCCACATTTTTACTATAGCGGAAATGCAACCAGAAACTCGCATTTCCTTTAGAAAATGAAAACCTAATCTCATTTTCAGTAGAAGATACATTTTCCTTACGCTTTCCTCCCTCTCCAGGCCCCGATTGCCGTGCGAATGGCTAAATTAGCGATGAATCGAGGCTCTGAGGTGGACATCTCTTCAGGTATGGCTATTGAAGGAATGTGTTACGCCAGGGTGAGTGTTATACATAAAACATATGAATCAAATTTGTACAATTTGGCTTTGTTGCAGTATTTTGCGTGTTTGGATTGACTGAATGTTTTGCATTCTCTCAGCTCATTCCTACAAAGGACAGACAAGAGGGCATGGCTGCGTTTATAGAGAAGAGGCTACCAAGGTACACTGGAGAGTGAAAGTTTTAACAGTACAGTTCAAACATATTTTACATTCAGTACATTTTGTACATCAAAATTCTTTTGAAATCACAATGCTTAAGAATAACCACCAAAAAATGTTGTCTTGTGTTTCTGGATAGAGAAAATGCATGAAATAAAATACTTTAAAAAGTAATAAAAAATTAAATAATTCATTCTTATAAAAATAGCACCGATATTTAGATTTTGACCGATAACACTATATATTTGATAACTGATATATTGTCTGATAAATCTAAATGCATTTTTTTTCAAATATTTTTTGAGAGCCTCAAAAGTCTCACAATTAAAATCCATGTGACAAATATTATCATAATTTTATGTTGCCTATATGACAGCACATGTTGCACTTGACGGTATTTTCCTTCTTGTGGTCATTTCAATCATATTTCAAGTAATTCAAAGCCATCATGGCAAACAGTGTGCATCTAAAGGAGGAAATAATCCATTATGTATCAGCTTTGATATATACATGTCAAATTTTCTTCTCAGGGCGATATCATTAAAAACTAACATATATCGGCCAATACCGATATATTGTGCGTGCGTCCTTAAAAAATACAATAGTTTGTCATTTTGAAGTTAGGACATTGAAATTGCAATATTTATTTAAATGCTTTACTTTGAGAAATTCTTCAACATGAACGTGTTAATAAAGATGGACAGCAGACTTAAGCAACAGAGGTTTTACATTCTTTATTCCCCAAACATAATTTTGCATAAACGGAAATCCGAGCGGCAGTATAACACTATAGCATTCTCTGCTTTTGCAGCTCAATCCTCACTCTGCGTGAGGAAGATAACTGTAGTACAACACAGAACCAAAATCCACATACATGATGAGATTCTCCACGCTCTGTCTGAAGAGTTCAATGAACCCAGAGGTCATTTGGTCCATTTACACAGCGGCAGATTATATTTAACCTCAATAATTGTTAGTGCCGCAACTTTATCCAAAAACAGGCAGTGTTGTGATGAATTTCAGTGGTATAAACCTAGCCAAAGTTGCCAAACACTCAACAAAATGACAGTCCAAATTATAACAAGGACTTATATTGCATGCCATTTGCAAGAACAGCTGCATGACACAACAAGATTTTCTGGAACAAAGCATATTTGTTGGAGCATCTCATCATTATTCATGGCCCAGTTGCGAATAGAAAACCAAATCCATGCTGCGAAAAACAAGGATACACACATCCAGGGAAATGAAACATTTATATACAAAAACGCTTGGAACAAAATGGAGTATATTTTTTTTAAATGCAATTTCAAACAGAACAAGTTGACCCTGCTGTCTAAAAGCTTAATCGGTGTTAAATTAAATCAAACTTAAGTTTATATGCATGTTTAGCAAGAAGGCAAATCCCATGACTTTTGGCAAATCACCAGTGCTTCAAAGTTGCCACGATCATAACAAATATTCCCTAAGGTCTTCCTCTTGCCTTTTAAGGTGCCATTTATCTGTATTCGGCGCCGTCACAGTCCATTTCTTGATTTCTCCAAATGGTTTACGAGGCAGCAATCCATTTATTGACAAGTTCCTGCTTTGCCTCAACAGATCCATGCAATAAAGCGAGTCTGAAGGCAAAAGCTTTGATTTTATTCATCTCCGCCCGTTCCGTTGATCATATCGGCTTCATATTCAGCTTCGGTTTGGGTGTTCAGTCCATTTTGTACCATTTTTAAACCAAACTCAAATCTAAATCGCAATACTTTTCGTGCAATACAACACACAGACCATCAAAAACATTGTCCTCTGCCACAGTTGATATACTGTGTATAAAAATAGATTTCATCCCTAAAGCTCTCATGCATTGACAAGCGTTATCTCACAGATCACCCACATAATTTTAACATTCCACACTGACATTTACCAAACAGTTCAAACTTCTTAAATATGTTCATGTAACCACATTACCCAACTGTATTTCCACGTAACCAAACCGTATTCGATTATATTGCATTTTCTGTAGAATAGGACAAAACTGTCACATAAATGAAATTTCCTATGGAGTTGTATCCAATATGCATATGTAGCTTTCTGATGCACATGCTCTCTTAATACACGTGGACATGCACGCCCACACACACACTCACATATATATAGTTATATAAACGCTCACATCCATAATCATGTTTAACAAACACACACTCTGCTGCCTGTCTAAATAAACACCATCAGATCACAGAGATTTATTTCAAATAAATAACGGATTCGGTCGTGTGCAAACATATGCAAAGTAACTTATTCACACGTTCCTCTTTGCAGAAAGAATAGGAGAGTATCGTTGTCATACGGATGGGCACGAGTGAACACATACACGTACAAAAAAAAAAAAAAAAGCTTTTGCAGCGTCCTATCCAGAGACCACTGACCAAAAAGAACCGTGTCATGGAATGTTTTTCTCTGGAAAACAAAGAAATTTAGAATAAAAACTTTAGTCAGATATAAAACTGAACACTCAAGCTTTGGGAAAGAAGTTTTGAAAGTAACCCCCCCAAAAATGAAAATACTGTCATCATCTATGTCGCCCCAAACCTGTAAGACTTTTGCTGAAGATATTTTGGTAACTTTGGTAGATATGCTTTTAAATCAAGAAGAAAGCATTTATAGCTGTATTTATAAACTGTCTATTAATGGTTTACTCATGCTTAACTAATGATTAATAGTGTGTAGTTATTATAAAGTGTTACCGATATGGTAGATGACATTTGAGAGATTTGGGTCCCACACGATCGTTCATTTGGGCTTTTATACACTTAAACATTCATCAGTGAATGACCAGAGTACTCAAATTTGGTGAACCGAAGCTCAAGCATGAGCCAATGAGATTTGTTCTTGCGCGTCAAGCAATTATGATTGAGCTTCTGTTTCGCTGATCAATGTTTATAAGCTTGAATTCAATCTGCTCATCATATAAAGTGATCGCTTCTCTTCAGAAGATTCGGATTAAACCACTCGATTCATATGGATTTATTTTATAAAGTTGCAGAGTTTTGGGTTAACAGATTCTGAATGCATTTAATCATTAAATCGTCGTAATTGACTAACAGAATTTTCATTTTTGGATGAACCATCCCTTCATATTTAAAAGGTTCTGCATTTCAAAAAGCACTTTCGTTCGACTGTGGGGACGTACCTGTATGCGTGTGTATTTTTGCCGGGCCTGCGTATCCTGTGCGTGTTCTGTGGCGATGTAAACTGTCTAGGATGCTTTCAGCCAATCGCAGCACATCGCCGTGGATTTCGGGATGTGTGATCACGGCCTCTAGCTGCCGCAGTCCTCCCTCCTCCAGTAACATGCTGCAGTACCGCCCCGCTGCTTCCACCAGGGCAGAATGGGAAAATAAAATGAACACAAAATGTCTCTGAGCTCAGAAGCGTTGGGTCTAGGGTGCTGATCTCACCATTTTTGCTGCAGACGTGCTGCATGGCCCATGCGGCCCACAGCTGAACCCCTGGGGTCTGGAAGCACTCCAGTAAAGGGAAAAAAGGGTTGAACGATCTGAAACACACACCGGACACGTCATCTCAAAATACTAGAAAACTATCTTTATAGTGCATAAATGGCACTAGGTATAGATACAATATAAGTAAGATCCCAGACTTGACACCAGTTGTGTTGTTTTTGTTAACTAAATGGTTTAAAATTAGGGCCGTCAAACGATTAATCGCATCTAAAATAAAAGTTTGTGTTTACATAATATATGTGGGTGCACTGTGTTTAAATACACACACACATGCTTGTATATATTTAAGAAATGTATCATGTATTACTGTATATAGATTTATATATAACTTATATGATATGTAAATGTAAATATTTTATATATAAATTAATTTTTTTTCTTAAATATACAAGCATGTGCGTGTATATATATATATATATATATATACAAAATAATTATACACAGTGCACCCACATATATTATGTAAACACAAACCTTTATTTTGGATGCGATTAATCGTTTGACAGCCCTAATTAAAAGTGTTTTTTCGTTTATTGAAATAAAACATATTATATTAGATAAAAAAAAAAATAAATAAATAAACCTTTAGTTGCCCAGGTAACATTTCTAATTTATTTAATTTGACTGAAAAAAAGAAATAAAAACTAAAATTAATGCTACATAAAATAAAAAATAAATAAAGAATTAAAATAATAGTATAGAAATAATAATAAAATAACATTGCTCAATACAACTAGTAGTCCAAAATGTTTTAGTTAATTCATTTTAGTACAAAAATTGTCAATTATTATTTTTAAATAACTAAAAAAAAGCTCCAGTACTATTTAGTTTGACCCTTTTTGGTTAACAATTAACATTTTCTGAAGGTTAAGTGCCTATTCACGTGTTTCCTTGGAAAAAAAAAGATATTAATAAAGTATTTAAACAATAATAAAACTGAATTAATAATAATTAATATGTTGTATATTTATATTATTGCTATTATTTCTTTGAGAAATACATTGCCCTGTACAATAGTGATATTTCTATAATAATTTCTTCAAGTTAAACTGCGTTTTCCACATCACGTTCATAGGTCTACAGGACCGTACTTGGGTTTCACTAGCAGAGCTCGGTTACTTGATACCGTCCATGGTTCGCATATTCAGTAAAGAATATTTAATTGTGGTGTAATTTCTCACCTGTACGCTACCATCTCACATTCCGGCGTCGGCCACTTCAGAATCGCTGAATGCTGCGAGAGACAAGTGATTATTAAGCCATTCACTCAGGCCAAGCGATTTTGACTTCTATTTGCACAAGCACGCACCAGTTGCTCCAGCAGTGTGTTCCTGAGCGACATGTCGAGGGTCCACACCTTCTCGCCCCGTGAGGTGAGGTGGGCCAAGATGCCTGCTGCGAAATAACTGACCTCCACCTCTGGACTGTGCAGCAGAGAGCAGATATGATCGAGAAAACTTTGAACCATTAGCTCACCGTGCAACTCCCCCACTTCAGCGATATTATTCTGAACACACAAGCACAAGAAACATTCAGAACTAGACAAGATAGACAAAGCACAATAGCACAGGGGAACTCGGCTACAAAAATACCACCGAATGCAAAATGAAATAGCCTCATTATACTTTCTAACTAAGAGAAACTATTAGCATAATCCCTCAGCGGTGCTTCCTCTGACACGAGAAGCCGTTTTATCAGTGCTGCCTACAGCTACAGAATCACTCGCCTCAATTCAACTTCCACACAGCACTGGAATGTGCATTTCCCTCTTTACAAAATGTATATGTGCATGTATATGTTGTGTGTGTGTGTGAATATATATATATATATATATATATATATACATGTACACACTGTATATATATATATATATATATATACATGTACACACTGTATATATATATATGCATGTATATGTTGTGAGTGTGTGTATATATATATATATATATATTGATTTTACTTATATATATTGGTTTTACTGTTAATTTTAATCAATTTAATGCCTCTTTGCTAAATAAATTCTTAAAAGAAACATCTTACAGACTCCAAACTTTTGAAAAGTGGTATACTGACATTATATTCCATAGATTTTTTTTTTTGAACTTATGAACCTTACTTTGTACATTGTTTCTTACCAGTAATCCCAACACCTTCTGTTGGATGGATGACTCTGATGGGAAGGACTGAAAACAGACATTTTGAAAATCAGAACTTCCGATCAAGTTAACAAATTACAGTTATGTTCTTCCTCAAATTGTCTAAAAAGGTTTGAAAAGCGTTTACCTCGAGTACTTTGATGAAGAGCTCCAGTCCCTGGTTCTCTATGAAGTGTCTGCAGGTGGTAGGGGATTCATCCGTGAGGTTCCACAGAGCGCTGAGTGTGAACTTCAACGTGGCGTCAACCGTACCCTGACACGTCTTCTGCCGCACTATGTGCAGGAGTTGCTATGATGTGAAGAGTGTGTGAGAGGTACTGTAAGTATACACTATTCTTCCTGTTCAGGTGTTAAAAATGCTATCTGTTAAATCTAGTGGGGGAAAAAAAACTCGTACCTTTACTATAAAAAGCTCAGCTCCCAGTTGTGCAGTTTGTTCAGTGGACAGCTGTTTAAGAAACACAGACAAAGACATTCAAACAAAATCCTTAATTTCCAACAGGGAGTAGTACAGGATATACACATCATATACACAAAGAGGAATTTTCAGATAATTTGAACTTGTTGCATAGAAATATTTGAAGTATTGCTGCTAGACTGACAGACCAGAACGTCATTCTTTAAAGGGTTAGTTCACCCAAAAATAAATTCAATCTGTTCGTCATATAGAGCAATTGTCTCTTCAGAAAATTCGGACTGAAGTGCTCAATTTATATGGATTCGTTCTACGATATTTATGAACTTTTTGAAGTGTCAAGGTGGTAGCTGTCAATGGAGAGTCAGAAAGTCCTCAGATTTTGTCAAAAATATCTTGATTTGTGTTCCGAAGATGAACAAAAGTCTTGATGGTTGGGCAGTTACGAATAATAATGTCACGTCAGTACATAAGCTAATTATTTACATTGTAAAACTTATTTACATTCATTATTCATTCATTTTACCATGGTGAATAAGTGGAAGGTATCAGGTCCTTCATGACCAGTTTGAAAGGTCTGTCCAATGAAATACGAGATAGTGGAGAAGCTGTTTTTATTCCCAGTAAATCAGCATTTCTAACCATACACAAACAAGCAATCAAAATTCATTCATTTCACAAGGTAAAATCTCCCCAAATCCCTCTCCACGTAAATATATATTAAACATCGGACACGTTCTACTTGTATGCGATTGTGTCACGCAGCCATTTTGTGCTCAGACCAACCGTTTGATATTTGCTACTGTACCTTTAAGACCTCTATTATGTAAATGGACCCTTGATTGGCTAATCCCTCTGCATGTGAATAGGCAACAACAGTATTAAAAAAAAGAAATGGATTAATTGTCATATGCCAATAAATTCACTGTTTCGATGTCGTCATTTTCAAAAAAAAAAAAAAAAAACGTTCGCAGACGGTTTTCGGTTAACAAACATTAAAGCTACACTGTGTGATTTTTACCCCCATCTAGCTGTGAAAAGGTATATGACCATCCATATGTTCCTCTCAATTCTTATTTCGTTTTAACTCCTACGGTGGCCAATGTAGTCCAAGATTAACATGGCTTCCAGTTCGACCTCGTCCATGAGTGTTAACTCAAACGTAAACGCGAAAGGCGAAGCTTGAAATAATGGGTATGTCCCTCTTTGGCCAATGTACTTTCAAGATGGAGGGGCAACATGGCGACCGACATTAGAACCCCTTACCCGTATGTATTTTCAATGGCATATTATACACTCACGCGAATACTTTATTACTTGAACGAACTAAATATACATTAATGAGCACATATATTTTTAACTCATATAAGAGTTACACAGTGTAGCTTTAACATAACTTTTAATTTAAAAAAACAAATCAAACGAAAACATTCCATGAGAGCAGCTTAGAGGAGACGTCATCGCTCTGACGTGACCGTGCATTTCACGATGCATCACTGTGAGAGAACGCTTTGAATGTTTAGCGGGAGCCTCCCAGGTCACGTTTCCTCTCTACGGTTAAACCGGTTCTCACCCGCAGACTGTGGCTGCTCACCTTGGCAGCGAGGATGGAGATAATTGCAACGGCCATCCTCTGCATGTTCTGATCCTCGTGGTTACACAGCCACTGCATCACCAGCTTGGCAGCTTCAAACCTGAAAAACAAATGGCATAGTTGACCCAGATACACTTATGTGATGTTTAAAATCTGTCAACAAAACAACACACTACCAGTTTGACACACTTGACTGAATGCAGGCAAGGCAAGGCTATTTATAAAGAACATTTCAAAGTGCTTTCCATAGAAGACATTAAAATACTCAAAACAAATAAAGAATAATTAAGTTAGTTAGTTAGTTGGATGCCTTTATTAATCAATGTCAATGAAATTCAATGTCCATCAGCATTTAGTGTGTGTTGACCAACAGACATTCTCACTACTATACACGCATTAAAAACAGATTAGAATAAAATTAATTAAAACAGTTTAGAATAAAAAAATAAAGTACAGTAAAAACAGTCGGACGAACAATGGCAAAGTGCTCATTCAGTAAATGCACAGCTAAACAGACGTGTTTTGAGTCTGGATTTGAACGTGACTAGGAGCACACCCGATCTCCTCTGGAAGCTGGTTCAAACTGGTTCCAGCATATTAGATAAAAGCAGATTCTCCATGCTTAGAGTGAACCCTTGGTATTTCTAGCTGATGTGATCTGTTAGGTTTATATTCAGTGAGAATATCTGCAATATATTGAGGTCCTAGCCAGTAATAATACTTTAAAATGTAACTGGGAGCCAGTGTAAAGACCTGGCTAAAGGTGTGATGTGTTCATGTGTTCTGGTTGTGTTCAACTGTCTTTTTGGGAAGCTGGTGATGAAAGCATGCACAAGTTTCTCTAAGTCTTGACTGGAAACAAAGCATCTATTGAAACTAAGGTCTGACTCTAGAGACACACCAAGATTCCTGACTTAATTTTTAGTTGTTAGACCAGAAGTGTGAAGGTATGCATTCACCTTGAGAACTTCATCTTTGTTTCCAAACGCAATGACTTTGCGTTCAGTTTTGTCTTTGTTTAACTGAAGAAAGTTTTGACACATCCAACTGTTGACTTCATCAATGAGTCAATGGGGCTGTAGTGGTTAGGCGATAGGGCTAAGTAGAGCTGTGTGTCGTCTGCATAGCGATTTGGTTCTTTCTCGTTATTTGGCTCATTGGGAGCATATACAGGTTGAACGTGAGTGGTGCAAGAATAGAGCCTTGAGGGACTCCGCAAGTCATGGATGTCCACTCCGACTTAATGTCCCCTATACTCACACAAACATGACCTGACTCATTTTAGGACTCACCCAGTTTTCCAGCCTGTCAAGAAGTATGTTGTGATCGACAGGGTCAAATGCAGCACTGAGGTCGAGTAGTTGCCTACCAGTACGGATAATTTGCCTGTATCAGTATTTAAGCGAATATCGTTTATTATCTTTATGAGTGCGGTTTCTGTGCTGTACTGTGATCGGAAATCAAATCAAAGTATCCATGAAGCTTAAGAATTTGTTTAACTGATTGAAGTCAACTTTTTCAATGATCTTGCCTATGAAAGGAAGATTTGAGAACGGTCTATAGTTGCTTAAGATGGTCTTATCCAGAAGGGCTTGACAACTGCAGTTTTCAGGGAGTTTGGAAAACTCCCAGAGAGAAGTGAGGCATTTACCACTTCTAGGAGATCTGCTTCTAAGCCGTTTGACACACTTTTTAAAAAAGATATGGGAAGTGAGTCAAGGTGGTTGATGTTTTAAGGTGCTGTATGGTTTCTTCCAAAACTTTGCCTTCAATTTCTTCGAAATCAGATATAGTAACTTCTTTCTCATGGATGTGCTGATCAACTTTCTGATATTATTGATTTTCTCAGAGGAAAGAAGCAAACTCACGGCACTTGCTGTCTGAGAGCATTTCTCTGGGAATCTGGCTTGGGGGGGTTGTCAGTTTCTCTACAGTAGCAAAAAGTGTGTGTGTTTAAGTTGCTGTTCATAATATTCGAGAAGAAAGTCCGTCTAGCTTCGCCTAGATCCATATTGAAAGCATGGATGCTGTCTTTGTAGATGTTATAATGGACTACAAGTTTTGTCTTCCGCCACATGCGCTCTGCTCTTCGGCATTGTCTTTTCCCATTTTGCACTGCTGTTGAGTTTCTCCAAGGTGCTTTTTGTCAACCACTCTTCTTCCTGACTTTCACAGGAGCAATATCATCAATTACACTTTTAACTTTTGAGGTATGTCTCTGGTAACCTCAAAAAACTTTTCATTTAAAATGTTTTGCTTGAATTCATTTTAGAATCAGTCCTAAGAACTAGAAGGTGCATCTAAACTGTTGGATTCTACATGTATTAAATTAATCAAAAATATGATATATTGATAATAATCAACATAAAATAAATGTTTCTTGAGCATCAAATCATAATATTAGAATGATTTCTGAAGGATCATGTGACACTGAAGACTGGAGTGTAATGATGCTGAAAATACAGCTTTGCCATCACAGGAATAAATTACATTTTTAAAATAGAATGACTTCATTTTATGGAAAAACATTTAAAAATCTAACTGACTGGTTTTTCAAAAAGAAACAGTCAAACCTAGCAAAAAACTGGTCATGCAAATCTGATATAGACTTCCCGTCGAAGTTACTTCAGTGTGTATTCATATTACCACAGCATTATCATCAGCAAGACAAAAACTCAAGAGAGTGATTATTATATTTTGGTGTAGAAAATGTCACAACATAACTGTAATTCATTCGTACTGTATAGTTGACCAAGCCATATTGAGATATCAAGTTCCGACTCAACTCTGAGCAACCACACGGCATTGTAAAGGGTTTATGAAATGGGTTTATGAGGTGGTTTGTTGATCACATGTGTTTACCTGTTGAAGGGAACCTCCTGCAAGATTCGATCACTGCAGAGAGACAGCAGGCAGTTCTTCTGCAGCTGTACACAACCAAACACACAACTGCTGTTAAAGGGGACATCAGAATTTACTTCTCTATGTCTTTTCTCGTTTTAAAAAGGTATTTTGCATCATCATGGGGAACTTACAGATGATTTAAAAAAAATTCAAATGAGGTTCTCAGAATCGCTTTGTTGAAAGATACTTCCTGTAGAAGTGTTGGCAATCATGCAAGTGACTACATTATACATTCAATCTAATTTATAAACCCACTGTACCAAATAGGGCCAGACAATAAATATTGAATAATCAAAATATATATTGCTAATGTTTTTGCTTGTAATATAAAATCACACTGTGAATATCGTAGTTATTTTAATGCACTTTTAAACTATCCATAACATTTTCTTAAAGTAGTTCACTTTAAAAAAAAAAACTCTTTTGCTGATAATTTACTCACCCCCACCCTAAATGAACGAATTGACTCGAAAAAAGATTCATTCATTTTGATGAATGAGTTCGAACAGGAGAGTCACAAACGCGCATCACAGAACAGAGCAAGGCAACCATTTGAGCTTATAAAACTTAACGTTTTTGATTTATTTTTTAAATGAGCGTTTTGTTTAAGTAATTTGTTGTAATTTTTATTCTTTTTTTAAAAAGAATTCTATATAGCTTTAATTTATTTTATTTCAAGTAATTCTATTACATTTCCAATTTTCATTTGTTTTTTAGTTTAAGTTTTTCATCTAATATTTATACAGTATATTTTTGTCAGCTTTATTTCAGTTCGCGAAAAGTATTTTTAATAGTTTTAGTTACACAAAACTGGTTTACGTTGGTCAGTTCAAACTATACTTTCAATGAACGAATTCAATTTTTTTCAAACTAATTCAATTTTTTTTTTAACAAAAATATAAACACAGCTATACAAGGTCTCATTTATTAACAATAGTTAATGGAATAACTAACATGAACGTAATGATGAACCATATATTTTTTACAAGATTTAATAACCCTTGATACTGTTAGTAAATAAAAATGTTCATTATCAGGCTAGTTCACACTCCATTAACTATTTTTAACGGATTCAACTTTTGGTTTTAATGTATTAGTAAATTATGATATTAACTTAAATTCTGATATTAACTAATATTATATATAATATTATGATAACTAATACTAATATATATATATATTTCTATTTATATATAATATATTATATATATATATTTATATATATATATATAAATAAAATGTATCTTTACCATTAAACATTTCGAATGTACTTAAATCCCAATATTGTCAGATAATTTTATTTTGACCATGACAGACTTTGCTGTACCACACTTGATTCAGCATTATTTTCCGTACCTGTTGGTGGTTGGGGAAGGTCTTCATGGCTTCGAGGAGCAGCTGTGTGACGTTCCCCAGGAGCCGCACGGGGATTCCAAAAGCCAGTTCCTGCTTGGTGAGGTTGAACACACAGGCACTGGCCGCCAGCTGCACATTCAACGTGGCCGGATGATTCTTCATCCCCAACGCGACCAACTGCAGAAGGGCCGAGAGCAGACGTGAGTGTTGATACGGAAACTTTGATGCAGTGAACTTTGATTCATCTCACGGTCTTGATGAGCGTGTGTACCTTCAGGATGTCGGGGCGTGGTTTCTCGATGGCATGAGTGAGGCTGAAGAGGTGAAAGAGAGCCTCTCTAACAAAGCCCTCCCTCTCACTGTACCGTCTCAACGCCTCACAGATTTGGGTCTCATTGGCTTCCCCAGTCACCTGCAGAAACAGAAAAACACTTAAACACTCATGACCTCCATTTGAAATGATCCTGCTGTGGTGTGCGTGCGAGCTCCTACCTTTAAGCTGCCCTCTCCAGACAGGAAGTCAGAGAATCCAGCATCGGTGGCCAGCAGACCAACAAAGGTCATGCCCGGTCTCGCCTCCACGAAAGCCTTGACCGCTGTGTCGGTCACCTGCTTGCGGCCAGACACGTCCAGAGACACCAGCTGAGGGAAGATGCCAGAAGTCTCCAGCAGCTGCCGCGCCACGTCTGATGTGAACTGCTTATCATCCGAGATATCAAGGTGCTGTAAACCCTCCAGCTGGAGAAACACAACAATAATGTGCTTTAGCTGTACATATACAATAGGGCTCCACGATTAATCCGCACAAGATTCGGCTTTTTCAAACGCACGTACTTAACGTAATTCAGACTCATGTATGGCTCTGTAAACGCTGCTCCATGTAAATGACAAGCGGAGCATAAAATTAAAATCGCAGCTTTTCGGTTTAAGTGTGATTTCAGGAAAAAAAAAAAAAGGTACATTATCAAAACCCATTGAAAAATCTTGAGAGAACCAGTGGAGAATAAGTCTTCCAGGTTTGGCTATTTTAGTAATCATCATAAATTATATTTCATTTGAAAGCCTAAACACTCAATTCATCCAGTGTAAATTATTGTGAAATTGGACATTGCATTACCTTGTAAATGGTACTTTAAAACATTTTAGTAAGATAAGGCTTTGATTTTCTAGTCATTTTAGAATGCCAATTATTTGGTAAAACATTTTGTACAAAGTACATCTGCGTTACAGGAAACAATTTCACTTTCCTTTTGAAGTGCTACTTCAGCAATAATCTCCTGGGTGTCTTTAAAAAGAGATAAAACCTCAGTACTGTATTGCGAAACATTCATGTCATGAATCACAACCATTTAAGTTCAGTCCTCTGCTCAAAAAGGACATCTTAAATGGAATTACAGTCATATAATGGAGGTCTATGGTCACCACCTCAAAGGGCATGCACAGAGAAGTCCAAATAAACATGATTTAATGACTCGTAAATATCAGTACACATCGATGACCTAAGACACGAAACGAGCGGTTTGTGTGAGAAAACAAACGGTATTTATATCGTTTAACCTCGTTAGGTAAAACGAGGTAAAACGAGCCATCGTGTGGCTGTGGTTACACGAGGTAAAAACGATATAAATACTCTTCATTTTCTCACACAAACCGCTCGTTTCGTGTCTTAGGCCATCGATGTGTACTTACATTTACGAGTCATTAAATCATGTTTAATTTGGACTTCTCTGTGCATGCTCTTTGAGGTGGTGACCATTGACCTCCATTATATGACTGACAGACAAGAACGGTTTGACCTAAAAATATCAAAATTGAAAATACTGCGGAAACAAAGACACCTACATCTTGGATGCCCTTGAGGTAAGCTAAAACATACCAAAAATGTATTTCAAAGTGAACTATCCCTTTAAAGATGACATATGCCTTTGTTTCTAGAAAGCGACAAAAACGCCCTCATTGACCTCAACATTACAAGTTGTAACACATGGATAGCTGACCTGACTGAGCACAGCTAGCAGCTGAGCGGTGGTCATCTCCAGCCTCTTGAGCTGGTGCATGGTGAGGTAGCGTAGCCTGCTCCTCAACCCCAGAAGAGGGGTCAGGTTCGTCACCGAGGTGTTGGAGATATCCAAACTCTCCAGGCGGGGCAGCGCGCACACGTCCACCAAGCCAGAGTCGTAAAAGTCGACGTTGGACACGCTGAGAGCGCGCAAACCCTGCATGGCGCTGAAACAGCGACGGCTAGGCTCCTCAAGAGAGGACATGGTCAGGCCGTTCAGGACGAGCCGCTGCAGGCCCTCCTGCACGGTTTTGTTGGACGAGAGACCTCGAAGGATGTCGGCGATGGTGAGGTCGGCGTTGACCCGTGATGCGTCCAGCTCCACGAGGCGGTGGGGGCAGAGGGCCCGGTGGAAGGCCTCGGCGGAGATTCGAGCGGTGCGGATGCAGGCGTGACGCAAGCGGAACTGCTGGCAGCTCCGGAAGATTCCAACCGTACTGTCGTTCAGCAGGCCTGGAAGAGAATCCATTACGTTCAGTGTTGCGAATTTAAGATCCATTCGTTTGATCACACCCACTATGAGGAGGCCGGTTTTAGAGATCCGTGGAACTCAATGCAAAAGTGCGGCACGGGACAAACTCAATTGATTAAATAGTATAGAAAAAAAAGGTCCCACTTTATATTAAGTGGCTTTAAGTACTATCGAAAAATAAGTACAATGTACTTATTGTTCATGTTGTATTGCAACACTTTTGCTGCTATTGAGGTGTGACATGGGTGAGGTTAGAGACAGGTGTGGTAAACTTAAACTGTTATTTTTTTTTTTTAAGGAGTGATCGTTTCGCTTGATAAGACCCTTATTCATCGTCTGGAATCGTTTAAAGCCCTTTGAAAAGTTTGTTTTGGACCTTGAACTGTTTGGTTCCCATTGAAGTCCATTGAAGTCCATGTTTTAATCAAAAACCTTAATTTATTTTCGACTGAAGAAAGAAAGACATGGACATCTTGGATGACATGGGGACGAGTAAATTATCAGCAAAAGTTTTTTTTTTTTAAAGTGAACTACTCCTTTAAAGCCTCTTAATATAAAGTGAGAATACTATAGAAGTCAATGGGGTCCAACAACTTTTGGTTACCCACATTCTTCAAAATATATATTTTTGTGTTCATCAGGAGAAAGAAACTCATACAGGTTTAGAACAACTTGAGAGCAAGTAAATTATGACAGATTTATTTTAGTTTTTAGGGTGAACTATCCTTTTAAAATACTACATGAAACAATAATTATGCATTTTGTGTTCTAGAGACCTTATGCACCAGAGAAACGTGGGCGCCGTCATCTTTAGACTATTGTCTTTGAACTTCCGGTTCTGTATATTTCTATGGCATCGCTGTCGAGGAGTACTTAGCTGGTGAAGTGGATTTACTTATTGTAGAGTTAACAAAAGTTATCATGAGCATTGTAATGTTTATCATAAGCATTGTAAAGCAGATGTCTTAACAAATTCCGACTGGGAATTTTTTTTTTACGAGCAGTTCATTCATACCTATGCAAGATCGCTGTCAAAATACAGACCGGAAGTCAAAAGACAACGAGCGCAGCACTGAAAAGGGGCGGGGCTACATAATGTCTATAGGAATGTCAGTTTGAGGGCCCTCGTCCTCACCCGCAGTGGACATCTTGCAGAGCAGTTGGTCGGCCAGCTCCTGCGGGAAGACCAGCGGCTCACGGAAGGAGAGAGAGCCGTCATCACGCTTCTCACAGAAGAGCTCCAGCCTGGAGCTGACCAGAGTCATGCACAGATCGGTCAGAGACGGCGGGGACGCCTCGTCCTGCAACAACAAAATGACTCAGAGGTCAGAGCTCAACATCAAATCAGAGACATCTCCCTTACAGCTTTTGTTTCCTAAGGTACTGGCGATGAAATTAAACCCTTGATGTCAGATTGAAACAAGAAAACAAGAAGAAACTTTCATGTTTTTGTTTTACTTTCAGTAGAGCTGGACAGACAAACTCTTAAGTGCATAATAGAACGGATTTTGAAACTGGAGCCAGGGAGTGCTAGAGAAAATAAATAAAAAAATAGAGTGTTAACAGTAAGGTAACACTTTACTTGAAGGTGTGCATAAGATTGACATAACACCTTCATAATCGTGACATCACATGTCATGAATATAAAGGAGGTTTTATGAATGTTTCTGTCATTAAGTGTCATTTGCTCAGTTATGATATTTTTAATGTCATTTTCAAATTACATTGTTTGAGATGTCTTTGTTGTGACAACTTGACATTACCAGACCACATAAATTGTCATAACCATGACATAGCAGATTAATTATCAAACTTCGAGATTAAAGAAACCACTTCGATAGCTTCTTGGGTTAACATTACATTAAACTGTCATGTGGTCGGTTTTGTCATTGGCTGTCATGACTCATGAGGCCATGTGTTGTCTTATTAATGTCAAGTTGTCATGACAAAGACACCGACAGGTTATGATGTATTGGTTTATGTCAAGTTGTTATGACAGAGACATTCCAAACAATGTCATATTCGCATTAACAATGTCTTAATTGAGCAAATGACACTTTATGACAGTTGTCATGTGCCATGTCATGGTTATGAAGGTGTCATGCCAGTCTTATGCACACCCCTTCAAGTAAAGTGTTAGCAAATTGGAGAACCATTAAACAAAAAGATTAAGATTATCTTAAAGCTTAAATTCAAAATTCAATTTCTTTCTGCTCTCAGATTTCAGCAAAAATCTTCATTTGTGTTGCGAAGATGGGCGAAAGTCTTACAGGTTTGGATAGACATGATGACGTTAAGTAATTAATGGCAGAATTTTCATTTTTTGAGTGAACCAACCCTTTTAAAACAAATAAATAAATGCATAAAATAAAAATTGTGTTAAAAAGAATACAAAATTGGATTAACAAAGAATACAAATTAGGTTCAAATAAATATGTAAACATAAAAGTAATTAAATCAAATACATTTAATGATAACAGTACAATTCTATAGTGAGTAGAAAAAACTTAGTGTAACTTAATAGATACTGATTAGTTTCGAAATAATATTTTAAATGGGTACACTAACGTTATATTCCTACATAAAGTTTAGTCATTATAAATTGGGTCTTAGTACAAGAAAATATTTAGATGCCTTTTAAAATTTAGGACAGACATCCCAGCATGAGGAAGATCATATTTGGTGATCTGTGGCCTCTAAAAATCGAAAAGCCCTTCTAGTCTACAAATGGACCCCTAGTACACTATATAAAGGGGGAATACCCTTGTTAGTGTTTTCGAGTTAGTGTTTTCCTCAATGGGTCTAGAAGATCGTGGATCACCACCTTTTGTAGGTGTTTAAACCTATACATTTTTGGCACCTACAATTTGATCAGCCCACTAAAGAACTAAGAAAACATCAACCTCCAAGTGTATGCACGTCTTTGACAGTCAATCTATTACAACACCATTTATTACCATCAACAACAAACCTCAGAGTTGAAGAAACAGCATGAACTACAGTCCTCTCGGATGATTAACACAAGGCAGAGATATGATTTACATGAATCATCTGGTTAACTGCACACGATTGCTACATAACGTTACACATGTGTGACAGGTGAAGTCTTACCACGGTGTCCAAAAGATGGATCATGACGGCCTCAAATGCCAGAAACAGCCTCTTGTGCGGATAATGACAGGTGGGTTGAGGTGTAGTTCAAACACAATCCGATTTAAATGCTCTTTAGCTTCTTATCCTGCTAACCTCTCCAAACATCTGTCTTCAAACATTTGCTGATCCTATTGGTTGGTATTTAAAAGTGCACGGGTCGCTATAAATGCAGTGTTGCTCGTTTGCATTGCTCTGTAAGATACGGATGTGTTCTGGTTGACAGCCTCGATGGCGCTCCGATCACTACGTGCTGTCAGGTATTTTGACGGGTACGGGTTTTTATATCGGGAGGAAACGGCAGCGACGTCTTCGCCAGTAAACAAGCACGTCACACGGGAAACGGATCTGCGTCAGAAGGGGCGGGGCCTACGGGTGATCAACTGTGTATTTGCCTTTTTTTTTTACAGTCGCATTAGTTCAACAAAATAGCAATGACTAGAGTAAATAGCCTACATAGCAGTATTGCAACGAAAATGTGTGTGAGTTCATAACAATGAAAACCGTATAAATAAGCATTTTTCCAGAAAAAAAAATATAATATAAATATTAATAATAACATTAATAATTATAAATATTATATGTATATATATTTATGTATTTATATTTCCCCAGAAATACCTTTATAATACTATAATGAATAAAACAAACAGCATTAATCAAGGCACAAATATATACAAATTTATATAATCTTCTAATGAACCAAAGTATCTTATCATCCCAACGATTTTGCAATCCAGTTTACTCTTCATACAATGTAATGCATTTAATCAAGGAAAATATTTACAAAGAAAATCACTTTTAAATACAGATAAGAGTGTTTTTTGTCTTCATACACTTACACATATGGATTAAGTATTTACCCAGTCTAAACGTTACTTTAATGAAAAAAAAAAGCTTATTTTTTGTCATCCAACAACATTCTGTTTCGCTTCAGGAGTTTTATGGTTTCCTCTGTTTATGATGCTATTTCTTTAGTTTGAAATGATTTATATTTATGTTTTGTCTCTATATTTTTTATTTTGTAAGTGTAGTTTTTGGTTGACATGTGATAGTTATGATATTCGGTCGACATTTTATTTATTGAACATTCAATAGATATTAATTTAATTACATTTTATATACATAAATGCTATGTTACACTTTGTGGTTGTGAAATAGCCCAGGGGGCGGGGCCTACGGAAGCCTGTTGGTGACATTGAGCGAAGTAGGAAGTGATCTTGACTGACTTCAGTGCATGTGTAGCCTTAGCTCATCGTGCAGTAACGGTTTCATAATTTGTGAATATCTAATGTATGTCTAAATTGAGCTAAATTAACTTCTATGTCTTAGACTGAAGCGTTTATTATTCTTTTATGTCATTAACTATTCTGTAAGTTTTTGCACAACTAAGTTAACCAGTGTGCAAGGTCAGAAGTTGCTTGACGTGCGAGACATTCCACCGGTGTATGCAGCGTTAAGTGTTCGGAGATCGACGAGCACATGGCCGGGTTGATTAACTTTGAGGACGAACAGGAGGTCAAGCAGTTCCTGGATAATTTAGGAGTGGAGTACAGCTTCCAGTGTCACCGGGAGAAGGATCCTGAAGGTCGGAGGAGCTGTCCCTCTATAGCTGGTGCTGAACTGCTCTCTCTCTCTCACACCCACACCGCAGCTTCACCTGTTCATCTTCTGTTTAACAGGGTGTCAGAGGCTGGCGGATTACCTGGAGGGTGTGAAGAGGAACTATGAGGCCACAGCTCAGGTTCTCAAGCACAACTGCGAGGTGAATGGCCATGGAGAGAGCTGCTATAAGCTCGGGGCTTACCATGTCACCGGCAAAGGTAAAAATTAAAACCCCTTCCAAGAAACCAATATTTAGTCATATTCAAATACTCAATAAAACGTTTATTTTTAAGTTTTAATTGCCAAAAATATACATATTTTTTAAAAATCAATCAAAATTAACTGCATAATTAACTTTATGTCTTTATTTTGACCCAATCCTAATGTGATCCTACTGGATAAACTGGATTAAAAAAATAAAATTCCTCTTAGTTCATTCTTTTCAGAATCTCAGTTCGTTCTTTTAAAGGGTTGTTTGACATCCTTATAATTTGATTGAAAATATTTTAGATATTCAGTTATTTTTCTTTTAATATTTTTGACAAAGCAAATCTGTTTTGTAACTGGTTATTTTTTGAAAAGTATTTTTTTAACATTTATTCTCTTTTTTTTTTCAAAAAAAAAATTGAAATCCTGTAAAATATCTATCTATCTATCTATCTATCTATCTATCTATCTATCTTCAAAATGTATTCTAATTTAAATTTATTAGAATAAAATTTTCAATCTATGTAGATTACAAAAAATACAAAAAATCTATGTATTTCTATAGATTTTCTATGTAATATCTAATTCAAATATATAAATTATAAAATTATTGTTATAAATTCATATTATAAAATGTATATATATATATATATATATATATAAAGGAAAAAAATATTATGCATGCATATTATGCATATATTTGTGTATATGTATATTCACTTAATATTTTCTAAATATATGCAGGGTAATTTAAAATCATAAAAAAAATTTAAAAATACAATATTCCATATATTGTCATACTCAGGTATATATATTAAATATTCAAATGAGTATTAATAATGTTAATGTTATAAAATATGGTTTGATTAATACATATTAAAAATGAGGTTAATATCAAATTTACATGAAAAATACTTTAGAATGTAATCAGGTGCTGTACGTTAATATCCTGACAGAGTGTTGCATTTGTGACGTCAAAACCGTCCTAACCGGACCTAATTCTCCACTGGCGCCCTCCAGATTTTCCTATGGGTTTTTTAATTTATGAGTACAAGAATGTCGTGGTAAACATAACTTAATGATAATTGGCCGTTTTCCTCTTCAAAATAAATTAGACACACTCATACTGAAAACCTGAATTTTAGACAAGATCATTAAGAAAGTTTGGGGTGTGAGTGCGAGCAGTTTATGTTGTACAACTAAACGTCCAAGTATGGTCAAGTGATGTTTACCACAGACCATATTTTACTCATAAACTGAAATATACATACTATATATATATATATATATATATATATATATTTATATAAAACCCATAGCAAAAAGCACTCTAATAACAGCTTTCTACAACTCAAGACTTCTTATGACCTCAGGTGGTGTGACGGAGTGTTTAAAGTCAGCGTACTCCTGCTTTATGAAGGCATGCAACACCAAAGGGAAGAAGTCTGTGGACGCTTGTCACAACGTAGCTCTGCTGGCCCATGACGGAAGAAGCGTGGAGGGGGGCACTGACGCACAGGTGGCCCGACAGTATTACGAGAGGGCGTGTGAAGGAGGCTTCGCCCCCAGCTGTTTCAACCTGAGCACACTTTTCATCCAGGGATCTCCAGGGCTGGACAAAAACATGCCATTGGCTCTAAAGTACGCCCTGCGGGCCTGTGAGCTGGGACACGTGTGGGGCTGCTCCAATGCCAGCCGCATGTACAAACTGGGCGATGGGACGGAGAAGGATGATAAGAAAGCAGAGGAGCTAAAGAACAGGGCTAAGGAACTCCACGGACAGCAGAAAGAAAGGCAACTGAAATTTGGGGAGTGACACCGTTTGTGTTTTTACCAAACTCATTTATTCTGCCTTGCTGTTTTGATATCACAGATATAAAAGCAGCATAAATGATGTTAATAAACATAATCTCTGATGCTGTTGTCATAACTGATTGTCTGAGGGTGATTTTGTTCAATATATCACTGAAAGTGTTGCCATTAGATAATCTAGACTGTGAGAGTTATCATAGAATTATTATTAGAGGTTATTTAAATTACTACTATTCTCTTTTGGTCTTAATTAGTTTTGCAGCCATGGAAATCAGTTGGTTTTATTTATTTCACCAGGTGCTGTACGTAAAAATGGCCACTAGATGGAAGCATACTCAAGCTAAATTGAATAGACAATATCAGGGTTTCTGGCAAACTTCTAATCTATTACAGATTGCAGTGAACATTAGTTGCTTCACAGACTAATCATTTGATACTTTAAAATGTCCACTTCATTCCGTTGAATTTATTCAACGTAAATAGCATTTTGCATTAAAAATGGATTTTAACTGCACATACAATTTTCACTTTTATTTTTTTCTAATTTCCCCCACATCATTTCCTTTTTTAACAGTAATTTATGTGTATATGTGCCCGCCACATATGAACGAAACACCAGTTTTCATTGTTAACAGCATCACTTTTCAGTCATTGTAATAAAATTTCCTATGAGTCTATACTTTTTAGCGAATCAAAAACATTCAGCGTGACCAATGTCATGTGATTCCCAAACAAATGACTCAAATGAACCGGTTCTTTTCATTGAATCAAAAACAGTTAGCCCGACCAGTACAATTGATAAATATTAATTCAGTTATTTTGACTCACTCATAAGAACCCAAAGCAATGAAAACTGTATCTATATATTCATCCTTTATGTCCTCTTAAGGTGAATGCAACGCATTCTTGCTTTTATGTTACCCTGGCAACTTATTTGTGTCTGTGTATTTTGCTGTAATTTTTTTTTCTTTTATATATGTTTGTATGTATTGCTTAAATGTTTAATAAATAAAAAAAAAGAACTAGAACATCTTTCTGAAAGCAGACTAAGGTCGCTATGTTTTTAATTCACTAAAAAGAATTGATCCATATAAGAGTCATTTATTCTTGAATCAGAAACAGTAATTTACTACTCCCTGCATCATTGTAGTCTCTGTAGTGGTAATCCGTGTTATTGTATAAAATGAATTGAATTTCTGAATTAAGTTCAAATATTTCTTCCTAAAAGTATTAAAAACAATTATTTATGAATTCGTTGAATCATTGCCAGCAGCTATCCATATGATGCTCACCTCCAATAACACTGCAGAAGCAGGACCCCGAAGCCACGCCCTTTCTCAGCTGTTCTCCAATAACACCGCAAGCAGCATCAGATTGAGCCAGTCTCCACGCCCATTTTACGCTCTCCTCCAATTACAGCGCATCAGTGTCGGACTAAACCCCTAGCCCCGCCCACTGTCGGATCAACCGCGGACACACACACACACACACACACACTTGCCGCTCCTGCTGTAGTGTTACAGGCGCGCGGCTAAGGCTGTTGTAGCTCCATATTGTTTATATTAGTTTGCTGGACTGTCGCGTGCAGCACGGAATAACGGTCGCAGCATCCTCGCGCAGGAGTTAAGCACGGAGCGTGAAGCGGTGAGTTTGATGCTTTTAATTTGTGTTGATGCGCAGTGTGTGGTTCTGAGCGGGATGTTAGCTAACAGGCTACAGCAGCAACACGCCTATGATGAGATTAACAGCGACCGGAGACATGCGGTTACCGGACTGAAGATGCCACTGTTTAGGAGGGAATTGATGTGCATGTGCATTGTGTGTGTGTCATGCTGGATGCGTGTAGTTGGCCGACTTTTGCCTGCTCAACGCTCGGTTCTTCTGAGAACAGGCTACGCTTTGCGCCTAGTGTACGCGCGCGCGCGTGTGTGTAATAATCTGCTGGATTAAGTTTATTCTCGTGGTTGATGGAGGTGGATCACTGATGGATAACGGTTGTTTGTCTGGAGGGGGGGTTCACTTGCCCCCCCACCCCACTCTGAATCGGGGTGTGTCTCACACACTCTCTCTCTCTCTCTCTCTCTCTCTCTCTCTCTCTCTCTCTCTCTCTCTCTCTCTCTCTCTCTCTCATACACACACACACACACACACACACACTTCAACGGAGGTTAATTTCACTCCCTTGCTTCTTCTAAGCAAGCTTACAAAATCGTCCATGCTGAGCATGTGTTCTGGCAAAATAACGGTGACTAAATTGAGTAAATTACTTCAGAAGTGTTATTGGTCACTACTCTCTTCTGTCATTATAAAGCAGATAAACAAAATTCTGACACTGTTTTAAAGAGATCCCAGGATGTTTGTGTACTGAAGTATGATTTTGCTGTAGCCTAGCTATTGTATTTATTTTTCTTGTAACTATGGTTACCATGATCAAGGCAGTATGTTTTAAAGTTTTAGTTTTTTTTGTAGGTGTTTTATTTGCAGATAATTTCAAAACAAAAATAATAAAAAAGGCAACAAAAAGATTCGGAGGTTAAATAAGAGCTTTAGTATATCCTATTGGTTACTGAACCTATGGACTACGTATATTTATTCCTTGGCCCTATTAGTTTTATTATTATTACTACTATTAGTAATTGTTAGGACTGGGTATTGACATATTTCACAATCTCTAATCTAATCCTGTAAACCGTTAATTCTGGTGCCTTATTGCTATTTATTTTTAAGTAAAATCAACACACAAATTTGTTTAACTTGAACTAAAGCGCTACAGTAATGATCTGTCACATTAAAGGAGTAGGCCTAGTTCACTTAAAAAAAAAAAAAAAACTCTTTTGCTGATAATTTACTCACCCCCATGTCATCCAAGATGTCCATGTCTTTCTTTCTTTAGTCGAAAAGAAATTAAGGTTTTTGATGAAAACATTCCAGGATTTTTTCCATATAATGGACTTCAATGGGAACCAAACGGTTCAAGGTCCAAATGAGAGTTTCAGTGAAGTTTCAAAGGGCTTTAAACGACACCAGACCATGAATAAGGGTCTTATCTAGAAGAAAAACAAGATTTGTTCATCATTTTGATGAACAGGAGAGTCACAAGGTGAGCTTTTGTGCTAATAAAACTTAAACTTTTTTATTTATTTTATAAATGACTGATCATTTCGCTAGATAAGACCCTTATTCATCGTCTGTTGTCATTTAAATCTTTTAAGCTGCACTGAAACTCTCATTTGGACCTTGAACCGTTTGGTTCCCAATGGAGTCCATTATATAGAGAAAATCCTGGAACGTTTTCATCAAAAACCTTAATTTCTTTTCGACTGAAGAATGACATGGGGGTGAGTAAATTATCAGCAAAAGTTTTTTTAAGTGAACTACTCCTTTAAAGAGCACGAAAATGGCATTTATTATTTGAATTTTGTGATAAAATTGACCGAATTAGAACTTTGTTTCATATGAGTAGTAACAAATCTGATTGGATTGGAGATGTTAAGAGAAGTTTTGTGACTAAAAGTTTCATTTTGGAATATTTTACAATAATAATCTTCATCAGAATGAAGACGGAATCAAATTAACTAATCGAAATGGTCAACCCAGCCCCAATAAAGCCCTATATAAATTATAAGTGTGTGTGTTACAAAATTATCTGATGCCCAAGATGCCAAAACATAGACTGTTTTTAGCCACAGTGGAAGTGTCTATACAGGCTATGCTAATAGTTTGTATAAAAGTTGCCAGTCAATAGCTCTGAATCCATTCAGTCTTTCTGCAGGAAACTCAAGCTAAAAGACATTAATTACGTCTGGCTCAGCACTTATTGATCACATATGGAAATGAGGCAGCCTTTCAGGAACCTTAGGACACTGTTAAATGATGAATTCACCATAAATCAAAGTCAACGCTCAAATCTGTAATGATCAAAAGAGGATATTAAATCCTCTTTTAAAATAGGCTGCTTTGCTGTCCAAAATGGTGCATTTTAGTGTGTTCACACTTTGCTTGGTTCGTTTGGTCCGGACCAAAAAAATTTAGTCCTCGTCCGCGTTCATATTGCTATTTTAACACTGAAACGAAAGCCTCAACTTGATTGATTAAAAATATTGACAGCCAATCAACATCCATCCAGCCAATCAAAATCCAAGAGTTTGAGCTTTTAAAGTGACAGACTTAACCGCAGTGTGTGCTTATAAAGAATAGAACATTATCACCCCATGTTGTGTGTTATAGTTTTCGTTATAGTTCTTGCTCTCTGAGAACTGACCTTAACTCTGTTGCCATCTTGACTATTGCCTCCTCAAGAACGTCTTTAAACATTGCGTGTGTGAATTTTGCAGCATCAAGTTTAAGTGCAATGTACATGGTTTGCAGTGCGTTTGGCCAAACACCTGCGTTGAGTGTTTTTGGCCTAAAGAAGAAGTATGAGTATGTCCGAGTCCCTCTGGTAATCACATGTAGGCAAAGGTTCAGTTTCCTTTGTTAAATATAGCTTGGGTTTTATGAAGCGAGTTATAGTTGAAGCGAGCATCTGCCATTGCTTTAATCCCCATAAACACTCTCACTCTGTTGCTTTCCTTCTCTCTTTCTGTATGTCTGAGCGCTTCCTGTCTCTCATAAGAAAGCTTTGTCCTTTTCAAAGCACTGCAAGGCAGATCCTGGTGCTGCTTAGAGCTGAGACACTGGAACAGCTGTTCCTATGGCGGCACAGGTGGGATTCCTGACTTCACTTTGATGGGATTCCTGTCTTCTGACATCACTTTGTTTCCTGAGAGACGGTGTATTACAGAAAAGAAAAAATAATCTTAGGTCTTAAAGGGATAGTTCACTTTGAAATACATGTTTGGTATGTTTTAGCTTACCTCAAGGGCATCCAAGATGTAGGTGTCTTTGTTTCCACAGTATTTTCAATTTTGATATTTTTAGGTCAAACCGTTCTTGTCTGTCAGTCATATAATGGAGGTCAATGGTCACCACCTCAAAGAGCATGCACAGAGAAGTCCAAATTAAACATGATTTAATGACTCGTAAATGTAAGTACACACTGATGGCCTAAGACACGAAACGAGCGGTTTGTGTGAGAAAACGAACAATATTTATATCGTTTTTACCTCTTGTAACCACAGCCACATCCAAGTGATCGCGGGCTCTTCAGTCTGCGCAAGTGCCAGAAGTTATCTCTTGCGCGGTTGCGGAAAAAAATCAAGGTTGTCTGTTGATATATTGAAATCGTCTTCCATTGTGATTTCCTGTATATCTAAAAAAAATTGATCTTCACAGTGAAATGTAACGCTTCCGAAATCTCTGTGTAAACAACGAGTGACGTACACGCGCGAGAGATCACTTCTCCGAAGCGCCCGTGCCTTCAGATCACTTGGACGTGGCTGTACTGTTTGTTTTCTCACACAAACCGCTCGTTTCGTGTCTTAGGCCATCAGTGTGTACTTACATTTACGAGTCATTAAATCATGTTTAAATTGGACTTCTCTGTGCATTCTCTTTGAGGTGGTGACCATAGACCTCCATTATATGACTGACTTGAAACTACTGCGGAAACAAAGACACCTACATGTTGGATGCCCTTGAGGTAAGCTAAAACATACCAAAAATTCATTTCAATGTGAACTTAATTTAGGTCTTGGGTCTTAACTTAACATGTCTTAACTTGATTTATCTTACAAAATTGTATTTTATGTCTAGTTGGGAAATCTTAATCCTTGCATTGCAAACAGAGACTTCATTCTTGATATGCCGGGGTGGAGTTATGAGGTTTTACGGACAGTTTGAGAAGCCGATAGAATTACAAGGTCTAGTCACAAGCTCTTTTCAATACTTTTCACTGGTTAGATGTTTGCAAAAACCCACAGGCCAATAGTAGAGCTGCTCGAATCTGGATACATTGAGAACCATGATTTATTTTGTTTCAAACGGAGATCACGATTCTGAACAGACAACTAAACCAAATAACATTTACAAGAGGTTAAATGATAATATGTTAATTGCTGCAGTCTATTTAAAATTTTCATTTAACCTGAATGATTTTTTTTTTCGGGTTGAGTGAATGATTCAATGACTCACTCATAAATACTTGTTACTGGATGATTGAATGAATGAGTGAATATTTTGAATGAATGAATGATTCAATGGGACTTTTTTTAACAGTCACTCGACACCATCATTATTTGAAGCGTCAAGTAACTTTCAAAAGGTTATTTACTATTTTGATTGCTTACGTACACATCAGTGTTTATATCCAAACTATAAACTTTTATCCCAGTTCTTCTCTGATAATTTGAATATTTGAAACACATAGGGCTGTCAAACGATTAATCACGATTAATCGCATCCAAAATAAAAGTTTGTGTTTACATAATATATGTGGGTGCACTGTGTATAATTATTTTATATATATATAAATACACACACAAGCTTGTATATATTTAAGAAATATTTTCATGTATATACTGTATATAGATTTTTATATAATTTATATTATATATAAATATTTTATATATAATTTTTTTTCTTCTTAAATATACATGCATGTGTGTGTGTGTATATATATATATATATATATATATATATATATATAATATATATACATACACAGTGCACCCACATATATTAACACAAACTTTTATTTTGGATGC